GGTATATAGTTCTTACTCTACATTTGAAAAACAAATCCCTAGTATATCTTTTATTGTCTCACAAGTGGCAGTAGTAGCATTAAGGAGGGTGGATTACCTTGAAGAGTGCACAGTAAATTAACCCCCCACCAATATGCTGTCTGATCTTTGTGGAAGTCACAATTACAAAAGCAGTGTGATTACTCATTTAACATACAAAGCACTGTACTCCTCATGTCTTCACTGAACACATTGAGCTATTACTAACAGTACAGGCCTGAAAGGGGAAAATTAACTTTAGTCGGTGGTAGAACCTCCTTTAGCAGCAACAACCTCAATCAGACACTTCCTGTAGATATTTCCACAACAATGAGGAGGATCTTGGGGCCATTCCCATTACGGCCTGTCTTAGCTGAACAACCTTCATGTGCAGAAGATGTCAGTCAGTTAAAATCAGGGTACTGACTTTAGGTTAATGTCTAGTTGCATCATTTTGTTCTCACAATGCTCCATCCACCATGGTTCACAGTTGGGATGATATTTTGGTGATGGTGTGCATCTCCTTTTTTTTTCTTCTCCATACATGATGTTATACATTTTTGTCTCAGAGTATCAGCCTAGAGGTGTTTGGAAAAAAATGGAAAGCAGTGATTTGACAAACACTAGTTACTTTTGTGACTTTTTCTTATTTAAAACAATTTATTTATTTATTTATTTTGTTATAGGAGTTGGTGATATAGTCTTCTGATCTCATTTACCTAATTGAAACACCCAACTCTAAATAGCTTCTGGAGAAATTGTTTACAGAGTGGTTCATATTCCAGCCTGACCATCTTATGACTCCATATGTTCAAAGACATGACAAGTAAAAGTGTGTTTCTTTAGTTTAGTCTTGTTAATGCTTGTTAACCCTTTAAGCTCTTTTCTGAACAGTTTCCATCATATTACGGGCCTCTTTATACAGTGGGGCAAAAAAGTATTTAGTCAGCCACCGATTGTGCAAGTTCCCCCACCTAAAATGATGACAGAGGTCAGTAATTTGCACCAGAGGTACACTTCAACTGTGAGACACAGAATGTGAAAAAGAAATCCATGAATCCACATGGTAGGATTTGTAAAGAATTTATTCGTAAATCAGGGTGGAAAATAAGTATTTGGTCAATAACAAAAATACAACTCAATACTTTGTAACATAACCTTTGTTGGCAATAACAGAGGTCAAACGTTTACTATAGGTCTTTACCAGGTTTGCACACACAGTAGCTGGTATTTTGGCCCATTCCTCCATGCAGATCTTCTCGAGAGCAGTGATGTTGTGGGGCTGCCCCCGAGCAACACGGACTTCCAACTCCCGCCACAGATTTTCTATGGGGTTGAGGTCTGGAGACTGGCTAGGCCACTCCAGGACTTTCAAATGCTTCTTACGGAGCCACTCCTTTGTTGCCCGGGCGGTGTGTTTTGGATCATTGTCATGTTGGAAGACCCAGCCTCGTTTCATCTTCAAAGTTCTCACTGATGGAAGGAGGTTTTGGCTCAAAATCTCACGATACATGGCCCCATTCATTCTGTCCTTAACACGGATCAGTCGTCCTGTCCCCTTGGCAGAAAAACAGCCCCATAGCATGATGTTTCCACCCCCATGCTTCACAGTAGGTATGGTGTTCTTGGGATGCAACTCAGTATTCTTCTTCCTCCAAACACGACGAGTTGAGTTTATACCAAAAAGTTCTACTTTGGTTTCATCTGACCACATGACATTCTCCCAATCCTCTGCTGTATCATCCATGTGCTCTCTGGCAAACTTCAGACGGGCCTGGACATGCACTGGCTTCAGCAGCGGAACACGTCTGGCACTGCGGGATTTGATTCCCTGCCGTTGTAGTGTGTTACTGATGGTGACCTTTGTTACTTTGGTCCCAGCTCTCTGCAGGTCATTCACCAGGTCCCCCCGTGTGGTTCTGGGATCTTTGCTCACCGTTCTCATGATCATTTTGACCCCACGGGATGAGATCTTGCGTGGAGCCCCAGATCGAGGGAGATTATCAGTGGTCTTGTATGTCTTCCATTTTCTGATGATTGCTCCCACAGTTGATTTTTTTCTGCTAGGCAAGCTGCTTGCCTATTGTAGATTCACTCTTCCCAGTCTGGTGCAGGTCTACAATACTTTTCCTGGTGTGCTTCGAAAGCTCTTTGGTCTTGGCCATGGCGGAGTTTGGAGTCTGACTGTTTGAGGCTGTGGACAGGTGTCTTTTATACAGATGATGAGTTCAAACAGGTGCCATTCATACAGGTAACGAGTGGGGGACAGAAAAGCTTCTTACAGAAGACGTTACAGGTCTGTGAGTGCCAGAGATTTTCCTTGTTTGAGGTGACCAAATACTTATTTTCCACCATAATTTGCGAATAAATTCTTTACAAATCCTACCATGTGAATTCATGGATTTTTTTTTTCACATTCTGTCTCTCACAGTTGAAGTGTACCTCTGGTGCAAATGGTGCATCTCTGTCATCATTTTAAGTGGGGGAACTTGCACAATTGGTGGCTGACTAAATACTTTTTTGCCCCACTGTAGAACAAAATGAGCAAAAATATTTTTATTGGTCATATACCCAGATTATTGGAAAAACAATTGTAAAAATGTTACTTACTAATTTATTTGAGCTTACCTTTCTGGGAATGTAAAGTCTAACTAGAGCTATAAGGATAATATAATGAGAGTACTTATACTGGGAGACATTATAGTGCGAATGACTTACTCTTTTCTCTCTCTGCTGTATTTCTCTCTGCATCATAATGATGGAATTTCTTGCATTAGCAACTTGTTTCTTACCACATATAAGGATATCTCTCTCACTCTATCTCTCTCACTCTTTGTCTTTAACACCCCTCCTCTTCTCTGTGTAGTTCTTGGCAGGGCTACAGTCTATTAAACACACAGACAGTGGGTGCTCCCCCGTGGGCTCATTAGTGAGCTGGCCCGCACGGCCTGGGGAATGCTGGAACAGACCATTCTACTGGTTCCCGGAGGGGTGCCAGAGGATTCATTATGTCGTTGTTCAACATAGTCTCTTGGTGGTGAATAGTGCAATGTGATGTTCTATATTGGATTAATAGGTCATCTATTTAAGATATTAGTCTTGATTTTGTTTCCATATACTTGTTGTATGTTGTATGTGATGTATGACATAAAATAACCAAGGCTTGCAGCCTGATCACAGATGCTTTCTTCAATGTCACAGGTAAATGTGTCCACGAGAGAACAAACTTTTTAACACCTAAAATTACATTTTGCCATTTTGTGATGAACAGAAGCCAAATGATTTATCCTTTTTTTCAAGAGAGGATTAATACAAAATGTTGTTATTGTATTTTGGGACCAAAGGATATTCTTTGACACAGTCAGAGCACATTATGTAAAAACTTGCTTCAACTTAGGTCTAATGTGAACATCATTTCAAACTGACATGATATGAGTTCAGTTGTTTTTGAGGGAAAAAAATATTTTTTGTATCCAGTATCACTGTTATTGTTTCGACTTTGTCTTAAGTATCGCATTATTTATACTTACTTTATAAACAAAAGTGTTGACTTTGTGAACTGTACAACAGCTTTTAAGTATAAACTGATGTGTTTTTCAGAATTAACATAATACATTTCCAGAGTGAAATAAATGTTTCAGCTGTTCATATGAGCCTTTACCACAAAATATTATTAGCTGTTTTTGTATGAATAGGCTCTATCGTATCCCATATCTAGGGAGATTGCGTGTAAATGATGTAACACAGTGAAACACAATAATAACTTGACAGAGGCAATCACTTCTGTTCTACTTCCTGGCTTTCTCCACAATGACATTCCTGGAAAACTAATTTCCTCAGCGACAGACATTTCATTAGCCCATTGTCTGAACACTGACAACTATTCTCTACTGAAGCAAAGGTGTGTGGGCACATACAGTATACACATCGAATATGCACACAAACACGTTAATACACAAGTTCACTCATACATACGCACAACTTCGGTCTCCGTTTTGTACTGAGATGTCACTGAGAGCTAATCTAATTGTCAGTTTGTGATTTTATTACTTTTTTTGTACATCGTGGCCACATTTTTCAGTAATCGGGTTTTGGGTGTTGAATTTAACAATCAACCAGAAAATGCTGAACCCTTATCATTATAATATACTCTGCTATTAAGATGCACACCAGTATGAAAGCTTAGCTTTACACATGTGTGACCTTCACCAGTTGATTGTGCTGGCACACAAATTGCTTCTAGCACAGGCAGTAGTAAAACAACAACTTTTTCTTTCTGTATTGTCTCTGTTTATGTATCTAAGTGTTTCTGCTTGGTATTCTTTGTCTTTGCTGAAGGACAACTGTTGAGGTTTTTGTCACTAGCCTGTTATTATAAGTGTAGTTGGTAGTGTAGTCAGTGCCACCTGTAGTGTAGTGTAGTGTAGTCAGTGGGAGACTGCGGCACCCACGGTGTGGGACGGAGAGATTTCGCAGGTCTTTCCTCCCCACTGCTGTCAGACTCCATAATAAAGACTTTAACTGATCAAACACACACATCCATACATATGCAATAATACTAAGTGCAATAATCCTTTCTGTCATCGTTGTATTTTTACTCAGTTGTATATAGTATTTGTATTCTATTTTTATCTTATTGTATATTTATTTTATTTTATTCTACTGTATATAGTATTTTATTTTATTCTATTCTGTACAGTTGTGTACTGTATTTATTCTTATTGTATTCTAATTTTTGCCTCATAACTTTTGCACTGTCCACTTCCTGCTGTGACAAAACAAATTTCCCACGTGTGGGACTAATAAAGGTTATCTTATCTTATCTTATCTTATCTTATCTTATCTTATCTTAATTTGATCATTTTACTATATGCTACATACTTAAATTATACATTACCTCGTCTAGTCCCAGTGCGGTTAGCTGATCTCTATGTCAGAGTTGATATACATGATTTAGAAATACATTTATGTTTGTCTTTCAGGATGACACTACAGTTCATCATATGGCAGCAAAAGCAATAGAGAACATATCAACAGTGCTGTCTGGTCCCTCCCATCACCTGGTCACCACAGAGATAGGCGCCGCCCTGTGGTACCTGTTCACTCACTCCACTGTGGAGGCTGTCAGAGTCACTGCTATTTCTGTAAGCTCACATATATAAAGATATATCATAGATGTAAAGCTAACTTTGTAAGAGCTATAAAGATATAGTAAAAAAAAAAGTGATTAATACTAGTTGACTTTGAATAATTCAAGCTGATTTCACAAACTTATTTGCACCAGCTGTATATATTACACAAAGTTAAAGCAGCCAAATGTGCTTGACTGACTGAATTTCTTGTATTGCTGTTATAGTCTGCTAAAAAATAATTAATTCTGATGCGATTCTCCTAGTGAACCACAAGTAATGAATATCAACTACTTTATTATGATGCGTCACAAACCACATACTTTCTGAAACTATACCAACTTTCTCTACCCACTTTATTATGATGGACTGTGTATTAATTCAGGCCATGTTAAGCATTAGATATCCCACATCACCCACTGTCAGGCTTTGAACCATATTAATGTTTTTCTGAATGACACAGTCATTTGTTATTCCATAATATGTATCACTGGACACTTCTTCCTTCACTAATGGCAAGGAATTTCAGTGCTATGTTACAGAGGAGCGTACATTATCTCTCGGTGTGTGTGTGTGTGTGTGTGTGTGTGTGTGTGTGTGTGTGTGTGTGTGTGTGTGTGTGTGTGTGTGTGTGTGTGTGTGTGTATCTTTTTCTGTTTTTCCAGTCTCTTTCTAGGCTAACCCGGGTGGTCCCAGCAATCTTCCTATCAGTAATTGACACCTGTGGTCCAGCAGCCATCTTGGAGGGCATAGGGGGTGCAGGAGCCCGGGTCCAGCAGCACCTGCTCACTGCTGTGGCCGCTGCCTTGCTCACCTCATGCACTCAAACACACCGTGTAACACAGAACAGGGTATGTGTATCACTTGTGTAACACGTCCGGCTACGCGTATAAACCACAGCATTAGGTACACCGGTTAACGGCTTCTTAACACAAATATTTAATTTGATAGTCACATGGCAACACGTCTGTACAGTTAGGCATGTAAACCTAAAAAAATATGAACAGCACGGTGGCTGGCACTGTTGCCTCACAGCAAGAAGGTCCTGGGTTCATCTCCAACATCTGGCTGGGGCCTTTCTGTGTGGAATTTTCATGTTTTCCCTGGGTGAATGATTTGCAAATCTCATAAAGTTGTATTTTATTGAGAATAAAACAAAGAAGACTTATTAACTGTTTAATCTGAGAACACACCACACCACAGAACAGTTTGCCTCAGTCCAGTTTAAATGAGCTTTGGCTCACAGAAGGTGGTGGATCATGTTCACTGCTTCTTTGCATGACAGAGCTTTAACCTGCACTTGTTGATGACACGGTGAACTGTGGTTCTGGAAGTGTTCCTGAGACCATGCAGTTATTTCCATGAGAGAGAACTGTATTGGGCATGAAGAGCACCATCCAATATTGATTTTCAGCCTTGTCTCTTAGACATAGAGATTTTTTCCAATTCTCAGAAGCCTTTGATGATATTATGTACTGGAGTTGATGAGCTAATCACAATATTTGGAATTGTACAACTTGTGGAACATTTTCAGAATAATTTTCCACAATTTGTAGATCCAGTGTTTTGAGTAGAGTAAAGTAGGAATTTGGCGTAAACAATGTGAAAGAATGTTTTTTGGTGTAATGGTGTAGAGCGTATTTTCTTGGTTCACTATATAAACTCTATATAAATCAGTGCCACAAACAATGAAAGCATTTCTGAATGTAAGAATGTGTCTAACCTATTATTAGCGAGGTGTACCTAATAAAGTATTGGGTGAGTGTATATTTTAATGTATAGCAACAAAAAAAGTGTGTCTCAGAAACCTAGACACAAACAACCATTGTGGTAAAATTGCTAGAGCATTATTTGACAGATGATTTGGTGGTAACATCACTACAAGGAAAGCGTTGATTTTTAGTTCATGTGAGGAATGTCTCTAATTAGAGAGTTTTACACAGTGGCTGAGGGATACAAACACTCCTGGATAACTACACAACAACACCAAGAACAAACGAAACTGGCCTTCTCAGATTCCTAACGTCTTCACGCTGTTTTTACCACTCTCTTTCTCTCTTCCACACAGTTCATGAACTGATGCTGAACTGTTCATGAACTAATTTGTCAGGAATTGCTTATTTAATTTTTCATAAGACAGTCCATCAAGTGTGTATGTGATGTGCTAATCTTGGTAAGGCAGAGGAGCTGAAATTGATTTGAAGGTTTTAACTTGAAGTCTAGCAATGGTAATTGACTCTGAACTGAATTTATTTGCATTGAGTATTTCCAATTTAACACCAGAATACAAACTTAGTACTTCAGCTCTGCTCTAATTATACAATGATATGCATTCACCCTCCAATCCCCTCCCCCCCACACTTTCCCTTGGCACAAGGACAGACAGACCAAGAGTTTGTTTACACAGAACTCTGTTAGTGTGTGTGTGTATGTGTACATGCATGTGAGTGAGTGACTGTGTGTGTGTGTGTGTGTGTGTGTACACTCAAGCAGAAGCGTTAATTTGTTGAGTGTGTCAGTATCTAGGCTAATTGGCTGAATGAACATGCTGTAGCCTTCTACTTCAGCAAAGCATTATGGGTAGTGGGGTGGGACTTATCAGCAAGGCACACACTACTGGGCTTTTGAAATTAATTAACTTAGTGTGTAACTCCATAAACACACATGTATACACATGCTTTCTCATTGCTGAGACACACACACACACACACACACACACACACATTCAGTGGTGCTGGTGATTATGATAATGGTAATGAAGGGTGGTCAGTCAAAATGTTTTCCAACCAGTTACTGCTACTGAGTGAATAGTTGTTGTAGCTGTAGGCATGCGAGTTTGTGTATGTGTGTCTAGTCTGGGCTGATTAATTTTTAGCTTGTTATACGTACATTTTCGGGAAAAAAAATTTAAGAAATGAACATGTTATTAGTTTGGATATTTTTCTCTTTTCTGTTGATTTCTGTTTCTTGTGATAAGGTGATATTAGGACAGCAAAGTACTTTTTTCTCTTTAAACTTTAAATTTACCAGAGTACTTATGTTACCAAATTAACATTTTCAATTTCAATTTGTTCTTAGCAATATTAAAATCTGTAAACTTTTTTGACTATATATGATTTTGTCTTAATTACAAAGCTTAGTTTTGTTTTGGTTTGAGGGGGTTTTGGCAGCAGCAGAATAATTAGCAGTTGCACACCACCAAAAACACACTGTAGTAACACAGTACTTTGTCTGCTGTTAATTTGTCTGTGTGTGTGTAGCTTCAGAATGAGCATTAATTGAAGTAAAAAAAAACAGACAGAAATTGTTGCGTTCAGCTTTTTTTTGTTTCTTTACATCTTACAGAGCATCTGATCTTTTTTGGAAACCTGGTTGCAATTCATAGAATAGTAGATGTGTCTAGGACCATATTTTCCCATAATCCTACACAAACACACAATACTAGCTATGTTGCCAGAGGATGTAATCTGTTTGAGGAATAATTTTAATTTCCTTGCTTTTAGGATTTGGTTTTGAAAGTGCTGCGTTGTCTAGAGAGTCCGTCTACGATAACAAGAGCCAAAGCATTACTACTGCTTCTTCTGCTCATACAAGACAACAGACACACACTGCTTTACTGCTGTCAAAACAGGTAAATAAACATACAGTACACATCCACATGCCAACAGTGTACACACGTACCAACAATATGTACTCGTGTAAAAACAGGTAATCATAATATACATATTGTTTTATCTGACCATGTGAGCAACTGCTACAAAGTATGATGTGTGTGGTTGAATCTCATGAGTCAGGTCTTTATAAACAGCTCTATGAGCCACATTGCTAGATGAAACAATTAGAAAGTAATGTGTGTGACCTTCCCAGTAGTAGCTTTGAAAAAGACGTTAACTAGATGCAATCATGGTGCAATTTTGAATAATAATTCAGTTTTGTCAATTAAAGAATCATTGTTTTTAATGAATTGTATTGCAACACACTAATAACACATTAATCTTGTTTCGGGTAGTGAGATTGCTTTCTTAACTTACCACATTTCACTGTGCACCCTGCAACTGTCTAACTGTACTGAGATTCAGACCAGTGAAACTCATACTTAACTCCTCTCAGTCTGTCAGACCACTGGCTAATTAGTTTCTCTGGAATGTAGTTGCCAGTGTTCACACATAGACTGAGCTGTCAGAGAACAAACAAGTAGCATTTGTGAAATCCATTTCAGGGTGGGATTGCCCTTTAATTATTTAGCTGTAGCTTTCAGTATGAGAGTGTGTTCTCATACCGATCCTCACCACAGCTAAAACGAAATTCCCTTTTCAGTATACTTTGTGGGTTGGCAAATACAAGATTGTGTTTTGGTTTTGCAATGTAATAATGTTCACTTGGAAGAAACTATTGTATGTACAACAGTTAGCTTAACACCTATTTAAGTAGATAGACTATGTATTACTCCAGCCAAGTTGGTTCCAATGTTATAACAGCTGGCTGACTGCACAGGAAGCAAAATGGTACATGCCACAGAATTTGTTTCAGTTTTAGAGCATTTCATGTTTTCTAGGCAATAAACTCAATTCAAGGTCCACAAAAAACTTTCTTTCTTTTTTTTTTGCATCTTCAAGAGACTTCAGACCACATAATAAGTTTCAGGCTGACTGACAGATGTGATAGACCCCTCCTAAATATATTGCCCTTCACCAGCAGATCATATCATGAATACATTTACATCATACATTTTCTAAATGCTCGATTTGTGTTTGCCTAAAAAGAAAAGATGGATTCAGTGTGGTGGGCCAGAGGTTTGTTTCACAAAAATGCCTAACCAGTCATTGTTAACTCCCCTGGTGTTGTCTTCATTTTACCTTTCTCCTCCACTCCACTTCTCTCCAGATGTGCTGAAACTGCCAGCGAAATGCAGTATAGACTATCATAAGCACATTAAGTGCACATAAATCAGGCAAGTTTGCTAATATATTCTGTTTTTCCTCCTTTGGTTGCTGTAGAGCAGGGGTGTCAAACTCAAATACACAGTGGGCCAAAATTCAAAACTGGATCAAAGTCGCGGGCTAACGTTAATATTTATTGAAATATATTTATTCCTCCAGATATAAGAATGAATCTTTTCTGGACTCAAACACGTTTTGCTGAAAAACTGAATATGGAACAAGCAAAGCTTAATACTAAGCAATATAAATATTAGCTGTATAATACCAGTAGGCCAGCTCTAATAGTAATTTGGTATGGCTTCGCGGGCCAAATGTAATTGGGCCAGAGTTTGACACCTATGCTGTAGAGGGAAAAACTGCATGTAATACTTAACTATTACTCAACTCATTAAACCCATGGAAACTTTAAGTCAACAAATCTTACCTTTCATGCATGTATTCATGTATCCGTTCATTCATCTGTGTAAGATTTCCTTTATGTAGCACAGAAACTGTGGGAATTAGATTACAAATGTATTTACCCTGCACCTCAAATTTATGATGCTTTATGCTATTGGAACTGTAAATTGATTATTAACTGATCATCTTGTGTTTATCAACACACTGTGCAATGCTATGAATGTGAATAGCTCATTTAATTACATGCATGGTCATTATATATATGGTTGCTAGAAAAACATTTTGGAAGGATTTAGAATTATTAAGATATCTATACTGAATAATCATGCAGTGTGGTCTGCCCTATAATTTAGTACATTCCAGCGCAATCTGCCTAGACTAAAAACCCGCAACCAGTTATACTTAATATCCTCCTCAATTAAGTGTATTGAATAATCTCCATGTAAGCTGGAAAGTACCCTTGGTACTTTAGAAAAAATGTGTGTTTAGTAAAATTAAATGTATTTGTTCATTAGTGAAAGCAACTAATTTCAAATATTTCCTCTAGGTGCTTTTGAGTTTTCCACAACAATTGGTTTGAGATATTTCTGGGTTGTATAGATTGCACAGCCCATTTTAGGTTATGCCACAACAGGCTATGATGCCCACGTGGCCATTAATGATTAATTTTCTTTTCCCATTAAGGTATGGATTTCCTTTTTATGCTCTGTGGTCTTTTACTTGTTGCTTCACCTAACCCCTCCTAACCAGTACATGATGGATTGCTGCCCTGACCTGCTCCTGTAAGCTTTTTGGTACAATTTTCAGCATATTGTTCCCTCAGTGATTGCAAAGTGCCCAGGCCAATCCACAATGCTGCTTCCATCATGCTTCACAGCTGTAGTTTTTCTCTGCAGTGTTGTTCTTCCTCTGATCTAATAATGAAAAACAGATGAGGCTTGTTTGTCTTATTGTAGACTCAGGAACACTCAGATTTTTAGTAGTGCTTTTGCATTCTCTTTCAGCTTTGTACATCTGTATAGTTCTTCTGAGGTCCTGTAAAAATTGCCCACACCAACCATTTGTTATTGAAAAGAGTAGACTTTGCAAGTTAATCATATGTATGCCTATTTATATGGAGGAGCACCTCTTTGCTTCCTATTTCATCAATTTATTCAAACATCTGAAATCTGTGTTTGTCTGTGGTTTTGATTTGACTGAAGGTCGGACCGTATTTTGTGAGTAATAAATGCAGAAAAAATAAGCATATTATTAAATATTTAATGTAGTTTTGTTATTTTACCCTGTTACACAAATAAAGCTGAAAATAGTGTGTTATACTACACTCATATACAGGGAGTGCAGAATTATTAGGCAAGTTGTATTTTTGAGGAATAATTTTATTATTGAACAACAACCATGTTCTCAATGAACCCAAAAAACTCATTAATATCAAAGCTGAATGTTTTTGGAAGTAGTTTTTAGTTTGTTTTTAGTTTTAGCTATTTTAGGGGGATATCTGTGTGTGCAGGTGACTATTACTGTGCATAATTATTAGGCAACTTAACAAAAAACAAATATATACCCATTTCAATTATTTATTTTTACCAGTGAAACCAATATAACATCTCCACATTCACAAATATACATTTCTGACATTCAAAAACAAAACAAAAACAAATCAGCGACCAATATAGCCACCTTTCTTTGCAAGGACACTCAAAAGCCTGCCATCCATGGATTCTGTCAGTGTTTTGATCTGTTCACCATCAACATTGCGTGCAGCAGCAACCACAGCCTCCCAGACACTGTTCAGAGAGGTGTACTGTTTTCCCTCCTTGTAAATCTCACATTTGATGATGGACCACAGGTTCTCAATGGGGTTCAGATCAGGTGAACAAGGAGGCCATGTCATTAGTTTTTCTTCTTTTATACCCTTTCTTGCCAGCCACACTGTGGAGTACTTGGACGCGTGTGATGGAGCATTGTCCTGCATGAAAATCATGTTTTTCTTGAAGGATGCAGACTTCTTCCTGTACCACTGCTTGAAGAAGGTGTCTTCCAGAAACTGGCAGTAGGACTGGGAGTTGAGCTTGACTCCATCCTCAACCCGAAAAGGCCCCACAAGCTCATCTTTGATGATACCAGCCCAAACCAGTACTCCACCTCCACCTTGCTGGCGTCTGAGTCGGACTGGAGCTCTCTGCCCTTTACCAATCCAGCCACGGGCCCATCCATCTGGCCCATCAAGACTCACTCTCATTTCATCAGTCCATAAAACCTTAGAAAAACCAGTCTTGAGATATTTCTTGGCCCAGTCTTGACGTTTCAGCTTGTGTGTCTTGTTCAGTGGTGGTCGTCTTTCAGCCTTTCTTACCTTGGCCATGTCTCTGAGTATTGCACACCTTGTGCTTTTGGGCACTCCAGTGATGTTGCAGCTCTGAAATATGGCCAAACTGGTGGCAAGTGGCATCTTGGCAGCTGCACGCTTGACTTTTCTCAGTTCATGGGCAGTTATTTTGCGCCTTGGTTTTTCCACACGCTTCTTGCGACCCTGTTGACTATTTTGAATGAAACGCTTGATTGTTCGATGATCACGCTTCAGAAGCTTTGCAATTTTGAGACTGCTGCATCCCTCTGCAAGATATCTCACTATTTTTGACTTTTCTGAGCCTGTCAAGTCCTTCTTTTGACCCATTTTGCCAAAGGAAAGGAAGTTGCCTAATAATTATGCACACCTGATATAGGGTGTTGATGTCATTAGACCACACCCCTTCTCATTACAGAGATGCACATCACCTAATATGCTTAATTGGTAGTAGGCTTTCGAGCCTATACAGCTTGGAGTAAGACAACATGCATGAAGAGGATGATGTGGACAAAATACTCATTTGCCTAATAATTCTGCACTCCCTGTATACATCAATGATTTGGTTTTTGATCCAAACTTTGGCTATAATTGACATAGTTTGTGCAAGAAAAGATGAGCCGGATGTGAGGAATAAAAGTTTTGGAATTGGATCTGGTATAGTGTGAGGAAATCCTGGAAAGCAAAACATAAAATTTCCCTCAGGGTGGAAAATAAAGCAGCATTTCCTTCTAAAATGCTGCTTTAAATATGTTGTTTTCAATTTTTAAATTGGCAGTGGCATGAATCTCTTTCAATGCATTTAATTTTTTATTTGCTTTTAGGCCCAAATGTTCCAGCACATTGGATTCTGCTATATTAATTGCCTTAACACAGTAGCAACTGAAGTATAAACATCTATATACTTGAGGATATAGTCGGTGTTCTCTGGAAATAATCAGTAACAGAAAGTGTAAATGAAGAACCATGATTACTTAGGATCGTTTCTGTTTGACCATTCACTCTGACATAAACACAGGGCCAGAACATCAATTGCAACCCTGAACACAGCTTACAATGACTGTTAAGGAAGTTAATGTGATTTTTTTACCTCTTGCTTTCTCTTCATGTTTTCCCTCTGCCTGTTTCTTTTCTCTCCCTTCCAGTGTCCCCACACACACATACGCATTTACATTCTTTATTTCTTTCCTCGCACTTGCTCTCCCTCTCTTAGCTGAGTTAGAGCTGTCAGAGTTGACCTGTCTGTCTCTCTCCCACTGAGCACTCTGCATGATTCAACCGTATACAGAGACACACATCTTTTCCCCAGTCCTATTCTTTCCCAGGCACGTTGTGTTTAATTAGCTTCTCAGTAGCATGAAAATTGCTTCTGTTTTTGTTTTGTTTTTTTGGTCTCTGAGATAAAATTGCATGGGTCTTATTGAGAAAGTGTCAAGATTGTCATTGAGAGTGGAAAGTGATGGCTTTCAGCAGTGGAGAGGCATATGTACACAAAGCTGGGTCAGTGGTGTGTGTGTGTGTGCTTTGTGAGTCTCCCACAGCGACTAACAGTGAGGCGGCAGGTTTGTGTCTCTTTATGAAGCAATCTGGAAAATGGCTGCAAGAAAAGGTTGCAAGTTGGTTGATCCACTACTTTGATCCAGCTGAAATACCTCAAAAACTACTTTACAGTAGGTCCAAATCCTCTCATGGGATGCAAGATGAAAATATGCTTAGGCTGTGTTCCTGATTTTATTTTAGTTTCTAAGTCACAAACCTTCATGATTGCATCAGTTATAGACCCTGAGCCCCTTCTTGTTTGCAGTGGTGATGGACAGGTTGTCAGATGAGATCAGGCAGGAGTCTCCATGGACTATGATGTCTACAGATGGCATTGTAATCTGTAGTGAGAGTAGGGAGCAGCTGGAAGAGAGCCTGGAGAGGTGGAGGTATGATCTGGAGAAAAAAGAAATGAAAGTCAGTAGAAACAAAACAGAATACGTGTGTGTGAATGAGAGTGAGACAGATGGAAAGGTAAAATTGCAAGAAATGGAGATGGCAAAGGTAGACGATTTTAAATACCTGTGTTCAACCACCCAAAGGACAATGCGCAAGAGAGGTGAAGAAGAGAGTGCAGGGAGGGTGTAGTGGGTGGAGACGATTGTCAGTGGTCATTTGTGAAAGACAGAGACCAGCAAGAGTGAAAGGGAAGGTTTACAAGTTGGTAGTGAGACCTGCTATCATGTATGGTTTGGAGATAGTGATACTGGTAAAAAGACAGGAGGCAGAGTTGAAGATGCTAACAATTTTATTGGGAGTGACCACAATGGACAAAGTCAAAAATTAGTTTATCAGAGGGACAGCTCAGGTGGAGCACTTTGGAGAAAAAGAGAGTCGAGGATGACATGAGGAAGGATCTTAGAGAGAAACCGATGGGTGTAGTAAAGGAGGATGTGCAGATGGTTGGTGCGACAGTGGAAGATGGTAGGAATAGGGTGAGATGGAGGCAGATGGATACACCCTGATGACCCCAAAAGAGTGCAGCCAATAGAAGAAATCGGCAAAGACCTTCATGGAACAGAATGTTTTTTTTCCAAAGATTTATTTATTGCTTTTCCAAAAGTATTTTAAACAAGGAAGACAGAGAAAAATAAAATGAAATGAAATAAAGGAGAAAATGAATAAAAATTGAGTGTGTAATAATAATAATGCATGCTCATCATGTATAGACGGTGTGCGTAAACACACAGATACAGATATATGCACTCACCCATGGAGATATACCCATATATTGTTTAAAAAAACACCACACAAAAACAAGGGAACAGACAGTGCTCAAAGACCAGGTACAACACAGTGAGACATTAGGTTTAAGTTCGTTACTTCAGGGTTTTTGGCGGGAGTTTAGTCCAAGGAGTTCAAGTTAGTTAGAAAGGCATCCGACAAAACGGCTGCAGCAATGAGCTGTGTCCTCTTCCGTTTCAGTCCATCTAATTTCACATCTCCATCTCCTGCCCTTCCATTGAACAGTCCAGCATAAGCTCCCCAGGTTCTCTTCAAAAATCACAGCAACACGTCTCCCGTACAAGTTAAATGGGTACAGCCATATCTGTTCACTGTCGGTCATCTCCTCACATTCCAAAAACGACCAAAAATTTCCCCACATCTTTTTAAAGGAAGCATGTTTACCCTTAATCACAGATGTAAGTTTTTCCAAACAAGGGATTTCGACAATGTCAAAAGCCAAGTTCTCAAGTGTGGTCTAGTAATGGATCTCCATGATTTGGCTATGCTATATTTTGCCTGTAACAGAAGTAGATTGTAGTTTTTTGGTGAACTTTGCTCAGCTGGCTTTCAGTGGGGAAAATCCCTAGGATACATAATTTAGGACACGGATTCAGCTTAACACTTGTAATACGCGCAATGACATCTGAAACTTCTTTCCAAAACTTTTGAATTTCTGAACATTCCCATAGGCAATGCATCAGTGTGCCTTTATCCCCACATTTAACACATATGTCTGGAGTTTTAGGGTCAAATTTGTTTAACAATGTTGGGGTGACATATGTTCTCATTAGCCATTTATACTGGATTCGTTTAAATTGGGTGTTTATAGATTGTGTTTGGGCTTTCAAGCAGACTTTTTGCCATTCCTCTGTGGTTATTCTACACTTTAAGTCTTGACACCATGCAAGTCTGTGTTTTTTTTCTGAGAACGTTTGAGAGCCGTCTCTGAGGTTGCTATAAAAGCAGGATATTAAGCCCTTCTTCAGCTGATGGTTTATTGCTATGTCCTCTAATGAGGTAAGAGTGGGCAGTGTTAGGGATTTTTAAGTGTTTGAAATAAAGCTTCTGATTTGAAGAAAAGTTTAGTTGGAATGCCAAATTTCCGTGTCAAGTCATTAAAGCACATTAGGGTGTCCTTGTCAAATAGGTCTGCAACTTTGCACAAGCCTCTGGCAGCCCACATTTTAAAACCCAAATCTTTCTAACTGGGTTCAAAGGTCTTATTACCCCAGATAGGCGAGAACTGGGTAGTGCTGGTGTCTCATTTTTAAACTTAAGTGCATCGAACCAGACACGAATGGTATTTTTAACAAACGGATTCAATGTATCTTTCATCAAATCTTTATATTTTGCTGAGTACAGGCAAGAACTGAGCGGTAAGGGGGTGCTTGTCCTTTCTAAATTTACCCAGGATGAGGTTGTCGTTAAAATCCAGCAAAAAGCTGTAGAGAGTTGGGCAGCCCAGTAGTACCATTTGAGGTTTGGAATACCCAGACCTCCCCTATCATACGGAAGATACATTAACAATAGGCGTAGTTCGGCTCGTCTGTTATTCCAAATGAATGGAGTGAATATTGTTCTTGCCTTAGTGAAGAAGTCATCTGGAGGGCTGAGAGGAATGGCTTGGAAGAGAAAGAAATTTTGAGAGAGTGTTCATCTTAAGAATGTTTATGCGTCCAATCAGAGAGATTCATTTTGGTTTATTTCTTCTTTACTGTGCATCACCAGTCCTAGTTCTCCATTATAATTGTTAAATGTGAGACTTAAAAATGCTATTAACACTTTGTTGTTATTAATGGTTTGGTTTTGCACAACAAGAATAACCCTGCGCAGATGAAATAATATATAATTTTTTTAATGACATTACATCATGACAATGACATTGACAGTAAGAAAAATTCAGTTAAAACAAAATTAGAATAATGATATAAAAATAGGATTGCATTAACATGTCTGCTTCTTTCAGAGATTTAACTTTGGTCGTACCAACCAGGCTAAAATTTATATAAAATTTATAAATAATTAAACTTAATAAGTAATCTGAAGGTCTTTCTCAGTTGCCAGGCTCAAGGTTGCAATGCTTTGCACTAAACAAAAATAATGTAACAATAAATGAAGTAATTAATCTCAAGAAATGCACTGGACAACAGGTTAACAGTTAACTATTTCTTGTTCTATATAGTTGTAAACCATGGATGATCATCTTTTATGGAACAACGTGAGAAAAAAATGCAGAATTTTTAATCCACGGTCCCCTGCATCATTGCCACTCTAAAGCTTCGAACCCCTCTGAATTTCTCCATTTATTTTCTGTTTATTTTCTGTGTGCGTGTGTGTGCGTATGTGTGCGTGTATGTGTGCATGCGTGAGATGATATACGTAAGCATGTGTTTATGTGCTGGTAATGAATATGAGTTAGTGGTGGTAACCTTCTCTCCCTGCTCAGAATTTGTAAAGAGAAAATTATTGATTACTGTTCAGTACACACACTCTGATGAGAATAAATATGCTCTTAAATTGTGTGTGTCATGGACTTCTTGCCCCCTTATTTTGTACCCTATCAAAATTTTACTGCTGTGCATTAAAATTTGTGTGCATTCATGTTCTTGTTAATGGGTCTGTCTCACTTAATCATGCTGCTGAACAACTAATAATGTATGGAGCAGACGAAAGACCGGTAACCATTAAACACACTTGATGTATCTGCAATGTTACATAGAGGGCTGAAAATATTTCTTTCTGTCTAGACTTGTGATATACCTGGAGAGAGACCTCCGCAAAGCCACTCCTCTCAGAGAGAACCTCAGCCAATCAGGATACTTGTCTCAGTGTCTCAATTTACTGATTGCATATCTGAGCAGCACCGCACCAGTGATTATGGGTACACACACAAATACACACACTACTGTATGATTATCCATCTGCCATTTGTGTTTTCACCTCCATGTGTACAGAAATTTGTAAATCAGTTCATTTGACATGCTGATTTTTTTGATTTCCCTTACCATTACTACATCTGAGATCTTTTTTAAATCTGACATCTACAAAATTCATTGTCAGGTTACTATGGAAACTTGATTTGTTTCTGGTTCTTGTGCTAGAAGAAAAAATGTGATACTTAGGAAAAATAGACGCATATATTTGTAGGGTTTAAGACGCCAGAGAAATTTACCAGTATATAATATAATATAGTATATGATATATAATATATCTTAATAAAGATAGATGATAGCCACCTTCTTAAATTCCTTCTCATCTGTTTGCAACTCCTTGCCTTGTCTCCTTTCTTTAGAGGATGTTCTGTGTACCCTCAGAGGAGTGATTGGGAGAAGACACCCAACTACTGCTCAAAGTAAACAACTCAAACAAACTTTGCCTACTTTGTCCATAGTGCTGGACCTTGTTTCATCCCAGGTAAATGGAGCAAAATTACTTCTCCACAGTGTTTGGTTTTAAAACCTTTAGCAGTTTCTCACATAGATTTTCTCATAAATGACAAACAGCAGTTCTTATTTTTGAACACAGAGTTTTCATTTATTTAGTACATGGCACTAAAAGGAAAGTCAGGAGGCTTTCCAAAATAGTCAATAATAAAAACGCGGCAGACCTAAATCATCACCTCCCTCCCTGCTTGTTTTGTAACACTCTCAGTTGTCACCTGATCACATTATCTTGACTTACCTTTGTAAAATGTTCTGTCTCCTCACAGGTCTTTAGATCTCACATTGTAGCAGGACAGTTTCTGGCTCAAATTGGGTTGCTGTTGGTAAGTGTTTGGTAACCAGTCATAAATTGACACATTATCTGTCTCCACATGCTAAAGGCAAATAATAAAACTAACAGATAGGGTGAAGTTAAATTTTTAGTTGATCACATTTTGTTACTCTAACAAGGAGACATGTTGATTATATATATTTTTTCAATTATAGAATAAATAAAATTAACCTAAATTATTTTAAAGCCAGCAGTGTAGTTACAGTTTTACAAATTGCAGAGACTGGTGGTGCCTTTCTCTCTTACTGTCAGTACTGAAATTCTTAAAACATCTCTGACATTCACACAACTAACTTTTTATAAGGAAAACTTTGAATGTTTGACAGTTTCAAAGCAAAACTCACATCAAGTTTTTAAATATCTCTTGACAGAACTTCATTGCCTCAGTAGAGTCCAATGAAACAAATCTGGCTAGTGCTATGGGTGAGTATCTTTACAGGTATGAATACTTTATCACTGGATATCAACCCCTGCCATATCTGCAGTAGTATTCCTTTTCACATGATTAGTCTGTGATACTGTGATTCTACAGAGCTTCATGTACTGCATTGTTTGTTAAAGTTGCACAGTGTGTTTGCTTAACTTGCCAGGTTAAATGAAGGATAAAAGAATAAATAACGTAGTTAAAATGATTATTATAAATTCGAGCTTATCTTACAAGTCAATATTGAATTGTATTGACATGGAGACGGTAAGGAGAGAGTCAGATACAGCACTTGAAGACAGCTATGACACTGAATTACAAATGCCTGCCAACAAGGCAAGCTGCGGTGTGGGCTCAGCCAGTCTTCAAGCACCTGAATCAAGTGCTGTGATAAAGTGCCGCGCTCGAAGGCCATGTTATCAGCAAATCACAAACAGAATATATGCCTATCCTTAAAAGGTATTCAGTTATGGGTCAGTTTTTATTGAGAACATGAGTATTTGTATTATTATGTTTGATTCTTCTTTAGGTACAGCAATATGTGAAGATTTAATTAGAACATCTCTGTCCATCGTGGAAGTACTGAGCCAGCACCATGCACTCATCAGTCCATATCATAGTGATGTAAGTATCTGTGGAAGAAAATATGCAACTCTATATCCCATTAAATGAATGGTTGAGTGTGCATTTGTTGTAGGTTTTTGACTGGCTACCTGTCTGACTGACTGGCTGTCTGCTGATAGTTTAGTACACCGATATAGGACAGGTATCTTGTGATATTCAACAAATGTCAGTACATTTCCTCTGACGGGACGTTGGAGACAACCTGTCATCATCCTGTTATTCTGTATTTCTGCAACTGTCAGATTTTCAGCATTGATTTTCCCCTTCTCTCATTTAGAAAAAAACGTAATATGCAAGTTGCTTTGCTAGGATAGAATGAATCTCTGTAGACTTTGTCAATAATATGAATTGGACTGTGGTATGTTTACTGTGTGTCTTCCAGTCTACTAAACCTGTCTATTAGTGATCATAGGACAGAGGGTTAGCATGTGGACTATTAGGAGAGACACTAATCAACTATTGAACCGACAGACCTCGTGTGTGTGTGTGTGTGCGCGTGAAAGAGAGAGAGATGTTGATGGGATGGGACAATGAGATTGTGTTTAATGACTATTGATGTATGGAAGTGGAAAACAGCAGCAGGAAGCTGACAGGATGGAGAGAGAGAAAAAAAGAAAAGACTTGAGGAACTGGGGATAGGAGCAAAAAGCAAGGCTGTGGATACTGATAGTCAATAACACAGGAAGACACTTTAATTACCCACAGCCAACTCAGATTAGCTTTAATTGTCCTCTGGACAAGGACACACGCTCATTTTTGACTTTGTTTACGTTTCTAATTTCTTGTCACAGTTTGAAGCTAGTTTGCAGTTAGTTTTGCCTCCACAACTGCTCTTTTGTTAAAACAGATTTTATGTGATGTGGAAAATGACATTTTAAATTGCTGTGCAGACCTTTAAAAAAACTCTCATACCATAACTGAATACTGTTTGAAAATACTTGGGAATGATGTTTTGCCTTGAATGTGCATTTGAAAGATCACTTCATTACTTTTTTTGTTAGACTGTTTAAAAATTAATAGAAAAATAGTTTTCACTAAAAGACTGCAACATAATTTTAAAATACATTTTAAATAGCTACACAACACACAGCTGTACAGTACACAGCAGTTAGTAACAATCAGGTACGATTGTTGTTGAAACCAGCTGTTGTTTTGTAAGTTCTTAAAAAAGTTAACTGAACACTTATTTTTCTTTAGTCATGTTCAAATGCAAATTAGACACTTTAATTACTTTGGATATTTATATTATACAACAAATTATTCTTTAGTTACTGTTGGAGTGATGAGATTTCTTTTCTGCACCACTAAAAAAGCAGCTAGGAGAAAGACAGGAAAATGGACAAATGTGAACAAGAAAGGCTTTCATAAATATGAGGAACGCACTGCCCATAGTTACAGAGTTCAGAGAGAATGCACCCAGATCTGCACGTCTCAACACACACACACACACACACTCACACACACACACACACACACACACACACACACACACACACACGGCTCCATGCAGTCTTTTGATGGTTGTGATAGTAATACACCAACCATTAAGTGGTGGACAACATCCTTTGTAGTTTTTTTTCTTCTGGCTTTCAATGTAATGACCTCACACATCCTCACTCAGCATTAGTGGTGTTTCTATGGTAATATTAGTAATCATGCAAATTCATGCAATACAGATTCATACCTAAATAAGAGCTTTGACAGTTGTGAAAATACGCGTGCGTGTCTGTGTGTTTGTTTGTTTGATCAAAGAAACCATTCAGCAGTGCATTTCCATAGTAATTTGATCCTCTGTGACAGTGGTCTGTGGTCGATGCTCGCAGAATTAATATAGTACAGCGTCTCCTGTTCATTTTTATCTAAAAATATAGACTCTGCTTTTAGAGATGTTATACAGAATATTAACTCTATAGCTGTTTAGAGGACACCATGATTATGTTTATAAATACCCTCATTTGCCTCAAATTAGAATATATGGGACATTACTGAACTAATATTTACACCTTGTTCTTAAAAGCCGTCAGCAGAGGAGTGGATTTTTATTTCACTTCAGTGTTTTAACCTGAGTCGTTTCACATCCATGACATCATTTGTAGCTGAACTTGTGAAACACTAGATTATAACAGATTTTTCTAGCTTGTTACAGGTTTAATACTAAAACCAACTTGCTTCTTTGGTGACCAGGATCAAATACAGTACCATATAACATTTTTTGTTTGTTTGTTAATGTCTCTTGAAGGTCGTGGATGCCATCCTGCCTCCTCTGACAACAATGGCTTTCAGCAAAAATGGTATGAATGGTGCGGTCAGTTTTTTGAGGAAAGAGAGTGTGAAGGAGAGAAGATGAGGGAAGAATTGTTAATGTCAGAGTGAGAGAGAAAGAAATGGCAAATGGGGAAAGAGGCAGAGCGGGTTCAGAAGCCTGATGGCTGGGGACCTTTAGTTCCTGTCACAGGCAGTGATTTTCTTCTTGTTTCCTGTTTGTTAGGGTTCTAATAATTCTCCAAAGAGACGAGATCACGAAGAAAAAGTTCACTACTTACCTAAACAATCTGTAAATATTACAGCATTTAACAAACTAGCATACTGCCAGCTCCCTTGCGATACAAGTAGATAAAACTGCAATACAGCATTGCTTATGTTTGTACCACAACTGAGCGAAATACCAAAAAGTAATCTTTAAAAAAAAATATAGGTATCCGCATTTATTAATTACCATATCACCAATACAATAATAACAGCTTCTTTTGGGTTTTGGAACCTGAATGAGTCATTACAGTTTTGACTTTATGGGTCAGTATGCAAAAGAGCCAGCTGTCAGGGTAAAAGGTTTTTTGTTAGCCATTATAATGGTGCTACTTGTTGTCTTGTTGAAGCTCAAAATATTAGGTTTCCATGTGGGTATTTTGTTGTTTTTCCAAGCTTGTTGGTATTCTTACAGTATATATAGTACATATGTGTGCTGTCTAATGTTTCTTATAGTGTCGTGTGAAAAACAACAACAACTGACTCAAAGGCTTGTAGAACCACCTTTAGCAGCACTAACTGGCAGCAATCGTTTTCTGTATGACTTTTCCATTCTCTGCCATTCTTATGGAGGAATAAGGTTGAGGTCTGGACTTTGACTGAGCCACTTCAACACTTAGATGTTTTCTTTTTCAGCCACTGTTGTATATTTGCTGCTGTGCTTGAGATCGTTGTCCTGTTGCATGACCTAGTTTCAGCCAAACTTCATCTGTCAGACACACAGCCTTCCATTTGACTTAATAACTTGGTATGATAAAATACTTTAGTATAAGGAGGAGTTCGTGGTTGACCCAATGATTGCAGGGTACCAAAGTCCTATTGCTGCAAAACTGAGGCCTGTAGAGTCAGAGATTTAGGTCTTAGATTTTTCCTTAGACTATGTTCATTCTTTAATCCTTAATCTCAAGTTTTGCGACATCCTAAAGTTTCAAATGCCATTCAGCAAATTCATTCAGAATTGTTTATGCATATTATTATCACCTCAGAACCCATTGTCCCCTTTCATTTATGGAAGTAAATCACGTGACATATACTTGTCCAACTAACACTAACTACCCCGACCCCCAAGACACACTAATCTAATCTAATTGACATAATACTTTCCCTAGCTGCTTACCCTAACCATCAAAATGAACCATTAGCCTACACCTAACCATAACATAATTGTAACCCTGACACTAAAACCACATTTTGAGTTTCAAAAATGCCTTCAAACTTGTGGAGACTTGGATTTTGTCCCAATAAGGGCTGTTGGTCTCCACAAGTATAGTAAACTTGCAATTTTTGGTCCCCACAAAGATATGTAAACATGGTACACACAGTATTCTAAACACTTACTCCTAATAATACTCTCTCTTCCTGTCTTTGTGTGTGGTGCAGTGGAGTGGTCTGTGTTTGTTTTGAGGGTGTTGTCTGAACTCAGTCTAATCCTGCTGGTCCAAGATGGTGTTGATACTGAGGTAAAAGAGGAAAGGACAGAGGAAAATAAAGAGAGAAATGAGAAGGAAGGACAGGCGGCAGAGGAAAGAGGGGATGGACTCTCGTGTATCACTGAATCTCTCCTTTCAAGGTTGGTCTGGTTTATTCTAAGTGCAGCTTCAGTGTTTCTAGATTCCTCCTGTATTTGCTGTCTCTATAGGAACAGATACTTTCCCCTTGAATGACATTTTTAAAATCACTACAGCTTAACCAAAATAATGACAGACTGTCAGTTTAAATGATAGATATAATAATATGTAATATACAATACTGAAGTAGTTTCTACCCACTCTTTTGTGCTAAGGTGTTTATGTTCACATTAAAGCAAATTTCTCTTGACTATTTTACAACCAAGACAATAAGTCTGACCTAATCCTTACCCGACACAGGTAATTTACATAAACATAATATTATAACCAAAAGAGCTTCATTAGTGATGGTGCCAGGTTAAAGACAGCTCAGTTGCAACAGATGATTTCAGAGTTGATCTTTAAAAAGTCTGAGACTGAAGTATAGAAGTCTAACAATGAAAAATTGTTGTAATAGGGTTTTTTTGAAGATGTATATCAGATATAAATGATATTGTGTGGATTTGTTAATCCACTTTATAATATGTTGTAGTTTGTAAAATGCTTCTACAAATACAGAAAACTGGCAAGTGACTGTTCAATCTATGAAAAGGGGACAATGCATTTTACACAAGTCAAAGAATAGCTACACAGTACAAAAAAAGATGCTTGTATGATAGCCTCACAGGTTACCGCTTGTTCACTTTTATTTCTACCAATATTTCTCCTCCTCAAAGTCAGTCCTTTCTTCCTCCTAGTTTCTCCCCTAGCTGCTTCTGTCTACGTTCTTTTCTCTGCTTCTCCTATTATAAGTCTAGTTCTCCCCTCCCCCTCTTCTTCACCCCTCTCTCCAGATCTGTTCTAGTTTACTCTCTCTTACTAATGATCAGAACACTGCATTAATTATTAACACTTCGAAAGCCAAATGTTGTACTCAGACATGTTTATGTCTAGGTACGAGACTCTTCTACGAGCACCGGAGCCTATACCCCTCCATGCACTCAAACTGTTGGTATCAATGACTGAACACAACAGTCAAACCTGCAGGTAATGTGAACACATCAGCCACACACACAATTAATCACAGACAAGAAAGACTGTTGAAGCATTGTGACCTTGCTAATATGAACTTTACTTGTAATCTTTATTAGGATAATGTTGTTTACTGGTAATATAGTAAAGAAAGTATTACAAAATACTCCTAGCATCCATTTAAATCCATTATCTGCTTCTCTATTTTTTTCCCAAGACGCAGAATAGGTAGCACGCAAGTATTTTGCAGTCCTAGCAGGTTCAGATACAAATATACACGGGCGCATTTTAGGCACTCTGTAATGTTTTAATGCCAAGGCCATTCATTCCCAATTCAGCACTGTGAATCATTCACACACTGCACACAGACACACACACACAGATGAATGTTCACTGTCTTAAACACACACAAACACACTCCTCCGTATTATAAGCAGTAATTTATTTGCCAACTCCTGAACACAGATATACACAAATGATTATTTGCTTGTTGTAGGTGATGCACATTCAGAGCTAATAGCAACAAAACCTTCACAGCTCCAGCACTGCTGGTGATCTGCATTCAATGACACCCTTTGAGCACCCTTAAAGGTGGTATTTTCTACATTAGTAATCAGTTTAGTGGCAGGCATAAGGTGCTGTATCAGCTGAGATGTGTAAAGACTTGACATGTTGTGCTGATATACCTTGGCACACTAGCTAGTCCAGAGAAGCTTTGCTTAAAAATGCGACACACGTTCTTTAAATATACGACACTAAGACAAAATTATTGCTCGCGTTGAAGTGAGATTCACTACTGCATAATGTGGAAGTAATTCACTATGCAGGAATTTAAAAAACATCGCTCAGAAAAGCAGTCATCTGACACCCAAATAAAAAGTGGTAATGATGTGTTGCTGTTGCACAGGAAATTTGCTGATTCCTTGTCTAGCCATGAGATGACTCACTTGTGTGTGCATGTTGTGTGTGTGTGCATGCGTGCGTGCATGAATGCTTGCGTAAACACATGTGTGTGCATGATGATGTATGTGTGTTTGATAGATGTGCTTTGACAGCAGCTGTCAGTAAGTCTTGATTCTCTGGTCATCTGTCTTCTCGTCTCAGCTGTTGGCAGGGATAGAAAGTGTGGGTGAAAAGAGAGGAGGCAGAAAGATTGAGGAGGGGAAGTGGATAAAGGTGCCAGGAAAAGGATAGGAGGAGGAACTAGGAAAGAGAATCTTGGGAGAAAAGAAAATGTTGATGAGGCCAGAAGGGTTGAGAATAAAGGAGAAGTGTTAATTGGTTAGAAAGTATAATTAGATGTGTGTCACCTGGCTCAGAAGATAACTGGAGGAAAGAGCAGGGGAAAACTGTAAAACTATGTGCAGTTTACACTATGAGATACACATTTCAGCTCAGGAACACTATGTTGTAAACTGTAGTTGTTACTTCAACAATACTCTCAGCATTTTTAGATTTAGTTGACTCTGTGTAAGGCATGCTCTATTTTAGCTCTAGAAATGCAGTCATTCATATTGGTGGAACACAATTTGGACATGGACATGTACCTGGTCAAATGCTGCAGTTGATCCAGAGATTTACATTTAATCCTTCATCTTTAATCACTAAGTATTAATTTGGAACAATGATTAAGCCTCTGTTTTGTGGTTTCCTCATTTCCATCCCAGCTTCTTTCCACATTTTATCTTCTCCAGCAATAATAGTTCAACAAATTTCTAATCACTGCCAGTCACCTTCCATCTCTATCCATCCCATCCTCCTCTACTCCTAGAGTTTAAAGTTCGTCCTCACAGCTGAGTATGCCCCTACTTCTCTTATCAGTAATATTACCCCATTTCGTCTCCATCCTTCTCTTCCACCACCTCTCCTCATCCCCCTTTTTCTTAGACACAAGTAGAGTGACGTGAACTTTTCAAATTGGTGTCAGGACTCTTTCCTCTACATCTGTTTTCGCGCTCACTCTTTTCCTTTGACATTATTAACAACATTTTACATTTTTTTTTCTCTGCCTCCCTCGCTCTCATTCTCTCACCATCTCTAATTTATTAACATTAGTCCACATTTTTCTTTTTCTCTGTGCCCTTTCTCCACAACTTTCCCTCCATCACTGCGGTTATACAATCAGAAATTAAATTGCCTGGGTCTTGGTTAGATAAGTGTGGCTATGAAGCCAGCCGAGCAGTAATTAGATGGTAAATTGGGGACATTAACGTTGGGAAGGCAGCCTGCTGTCTCTCTCTCCATTATCACAGTCCAGACACACCTTCAAACAACTACATTTACTATGACCTTTAGCCGGAGAACCTCATGCTGTGTGGTTACATATGTGTTTGCCCATGGATTTTCAATTTCCTTTAAGGCATCCTTTCAGCATATGTGCCATATGTGTCGATGTGGTATTTTCACGCATACCCATCAACAAAGTAAAGAGGTAGTATTTGTCATAGTTTAACAGTACTGGCTGTTTATAGATTTCATTTTGATAAGATTTTATATTTAAACAACTCGTGTTTTCTGCCTGTTCTTTCCTTTTAATATGGACTCATAGACTCAGTCTATGAGTCTAAATCCATTATATCAAATTGCAGTAGTTAATTGGACACCAACATCTCTCTGTTCCATGTAAAGTGGATTCATTAACTGTTAACACAAAAGTGGCCATTTTCTCAGGCTAAAACGCTGTAATTGCCTCTAACAGCCTGTTTTACTGGTCTTACTCTCCACTGTAAATAAATGGGAAAAAAAGGTCTTTTTTTAAGTTAGTTATTAGAAAAAAAGTATAATTTTCCTCTCTAGGCAAGTACTAATACATTATGGTATCAGATAATTTGTCAGTGCTGTTAATTATAAGCCCCTGACTGTAGCTATCTACTTCGTTGTATTTATCATCTCTTTATGTGCAAAAAGGTTTCATTTTGAATTTTGTTAGCTTTACAAAGCTGTGTAGCTGACATAAAGTATATAAAACTAGAGTAGAGCTGAGGTTAATAAGCGCATACTGTGGTATTTATTGCATTACCTCTAATGAAACAGCTGTTGAGTGAATGTGTGATGTGATGATGATGCAGTGCAGCATTGTCTCGTCTTATTATAGGTTGTCTGTTGAACCCTGTTCATTGTATGCTGTTGCGCCCTGTGTCCTGATGAATGGCTGGTAGTTTAAAGGTGGTCCAGTTTATCATGTTGTGCTGGCCTGGCCTGTCCTTTCATCTCTGAGCCTATCACCTCTCTAATAGGAGGCCATCCATCACATCTACAAGCAAACAATCAGACCCAAACAATAACAAATGCGCACACACACACACACACACACACACACACACACACACACACACACACACACACACACACACACACACACACTTTAACACATGTCTAAAAGGTTGAACTGTACATTAAAATACATCACCATGGCAGGTAAAGAGAACCTACAACAGCAATTCATTACGTTCCTTAAATTCACATTTCTTCAAGCTTCCTGCACCTGTAGTCAGTGATTGTTTTCAGTAAAGATTATGGAGATTGAGTGACTGCAACTAAAGATAAAGTTACACTGTGCTTATACTTTTGTGGTGCTCATGACAGCATCCATCAGAATATCTCAATTCACCAAAGTAAATCTAACAATGTAACCATGAAGGGATCTAATGTTACTAACTAAAACCACAAAGTTAACTATTAAACAATAGTTACATGATGCCCAGGAAGTACGTGCAGTGGTGTAGAGAATATGTTATCATCATGAAACATGCATGCTTTGTTCTGGCTCTTTGTATACAAGGTAGGTGAGAGGACATCAGTATCTGATGGAACAAGGAAACCTAAAAGAACAAACACTCACAGAAGACAGTATATAAGTACAAATTACCTGTAAGTGGTGAAAAAAAAAAAGACGCTTGAGCTCTGAGGACAGCCTGAGATGATCATTTGGTATTCTTTGCTGTTCAGATGTTCTTTTTACTTAGTCATCTGACTTTGTTTGTTTGTTTGTTTGTTTTAATGAAAATGCCTCCAGGTTAATGAGCCATTGTTTTCACTTTCTAGAAGCAGCACACCAATAAAATGCTGTCCCATATTTGTAATGAAGTGGAACATTTTGTTTGCTAATTTAAAAAAAAGGGCAGTTTTTTAAGTTTAAATCCACATTTCCATAGGTTGAATGATCCTGCTGGAGAACCTATAAATCATAGTTAGAACATGGACAGATTTATAAATCAGTGGGCAGGCTTTGTTACCGTCAGAATATCAACACCTGTCTGATTTTTGCTAGTTTTATTCACATTACTGCCTGAATGCTTTCTTGCTTACTAATTCACAAAGACCCATAAACAAAATGTGCGTGCATATATGTAGACACTCCACCCACTCAGTAACTGATTGAGGTTTAAAGAAGATCAATCAAGAAGTAGACAGAATGTCATTGTTAATATAAACATCCATCTCCCTCCCTCCCTCCATCTTTCTTCTTCTGTCTCTTGCCTTCCCCCCAAGCTTTTCAGTGTGGATTTATCCACATTACTCCTTTTTATTTTCCATTTTCCTCTCATTCGTTTGTTCCTCCACCTCCTCCACCTCACACCTCTTCTCTAATCTTCCCTCTTTTTCCTCCACTTTGCAAAATGTAATCTTTTCTAACCTTATCTTGCTTTAAACTCTCATCACCTTTTTCCATGTCCTTCCCTCTTGTCTCTCACCTGCTTTTACTTCATCTGCTCACATCGCTTCTTCTCTTTTTCTTCTCGCAATTCCACTGGTACTAGACGGAAGTCATTGTACCAGAACTCCACCCTTAATGAAGATGAAATAGCCACTTTTATCTGCTTGTGTGTGTGTGTGCAAACAGCATGCCTGAACAGCACATTTAAAACATTAAATTAATTCCTTGCCCTGATTTTTCTGCTGCTACCTAAAGTGTATATTCTCTTTTTCTTCTCCTTTTCAGATTGATCAAACGTAGTAGGATCCTACCAATGGTCTTTCAGCTCATTATGGTAAGAAAGCAGTGATGTTTCATCATTTAGTCTTCAAGCCAGTATCTAAATTACTTTACCAGTCAAACTGGTCAGTAAATTCAGTGCAGTTTTAAAATAAGCTCATCAAAGTTTGTATTATTGTAGCATTTCTATTCTGTTTATATTCAGTCTATTATGTCTGTTTCCTTCTTTTTGGTCTCTCCTTCCATCTAACCCTCAAATGTTTATGTAAATTAGTCTGAATAATGTTGACCTATTAGAGGGCTGGTGTAATTGACTGGCAGGTCAGCAGCAGAGAGGAGGAACGGCTAATAGAGTGGAAAGATGAACTCTGCTATTAAGATCATGTACAAGGGCTTGCACGCAAACACATGGCACTCGTCTGTTCTCAGTGAGCCATAACAGTGTTTCCAGTAAACCATTTCACCTGACCCTTTTTGCATGCGAACAATTTAATGCACCCACCAACACAGTACAACCAAACCAGCTCTAATTTATGCTTCACACAAACACATGCACTCACACAAACGCGCACACTCAATAACTCTGTTCTGCATGGCTGCCTGTCCAGCCCCAGCTAGCTGATACAGAATTTTAAACACTGCTGTCCAACAGCCTGATTAACTCGTCTCCTGATTGTTTACTCCTGCCTGAACCAGTCATGTCTGGATCCATTAGTGCCGTCTATACAGCTCACATTTGAATTGATTTATACTCCCTGAAACTCTCTGATGTAGATTGATTACACCTGTCGCTGGTGATCACACTTGTCATGGAGAAACTCACCTAATTGTATTTGTCTAAATGATGTAGTAGTTCTGCTTCAGACATGAAAGGACCTCAGGATGCTGGTTAGACCACGGCTCTGAACGGGGTGTTAGCCGTGCCTGAGGTGGCAAAAGACTGATCAGAGGGGAATGCTTGCAGTAAATGCTTTAACAAATCCTGCCTGGCTGAAAGTGTTCACAGTGCAGCTACACCGCTTATGCAAGTCAGATACTTATCCCTTCATGTGCAAGGTCCAAGTTAAACTTTGGTTTGCCGTTCCTCACTGTCCATTGTCAGCTTTATGCTTTTAGTGAGAACGTACAGTACAGTGCAGTATTTTTATAACTTTTTAGTCTTTAAAGATCAAAATAGATTAGCTTTGTCATTTGTGGCTCCTGACAGGCCGTTTGTCCTCAGCACAAACTGATGTCATTGTCTCCAGCCGCAGGCAATTGCACATGATGAGTACTAGCCAGGCTAATCACCACGTACACAGATCACACCGATGTGCACCAACCCTGCAGGCAGAGCTGGTGTATCTCAGAGAGGATCAAATAGTGAAGTGGGGGCAGGAGGGGGAAGGAGAAGTGAATTACTGTAGGAGGGAGGAGAGAATATTTTGAAAAGAGGAGAAAGATGAAATAAGAGGAGTAAATAGGATGGGTAAGAGGGAGGTGAAGATTACACTTTCAGTCTTTAAAAACAAATAAATAAAGGCACCTTTTTTAATAAAACAATCCACTACTTTATTAAATAATTAACTGTGTTCTCAAGACAGTATGTGCAGTATAAATAACAAAATGATGACAAAACCATGTTAGATATTAGCTGTTTTGGGTTAATTGTGAAATGTTATAAGCAAACCTGTAATTTACTTATCCTGTGTCTGTCTCCTGTTTTTCTAGGCCAATAGAAGTAACGTTATCAGTGGGATAGTCCAAAACGCAGTTGTTTTGCTCTGCAATCTTAGTGAGGGCACAATCCAGGATCAGCAACCACTGTATCAACAAGGTAGAGTGTGTCTGAATTCCTCATGGAGAGAAAGATCTAGATTTTCTCTCCTTTAAAAGGTACTAAATTCTTCTTATATTTTCCTGCATTGTGTTGCAACACATGTACTATTATCAAGGACACTTAGTCATCGAAAGGCATCTGTTCTGCTCACATTAGTGATTGTTATGTTACTTGTTGACATCCCTGATACCCGACCACATTGTAGTGTAATGCTTATTCAGGTCAGCAACCTTGGCTGTGTGTGCCTGAGGCGGAGGCCATGCTTTTTGTCTCTCAGCTACTATGAATAATCTGAGATTTTCCTGTCAATTGCAAGTGATTCCAGGGGATCCTTAGGGAGAAGTCAAATTTATGTTTTTTGTTCTCTTGGTGTGAGGACATTGTTCAGAAGTCTAGTTTAGGCCTATTCTGGCCATGAAGAGTTAGTTGGGGATTAGGACTTTAATTAGGAGGAAGCAATAGTGAGGCACAAAGCTTTGGTACACTGTGGATGCCTGCCCAGAATATGTGTGTGTGTGTGTGTGTGTGTGTGTGTGTGTGTGTGTGTGTGTAAATGTTTTGGGACCCACAGTTCAACAGTGTGATTGCAACACCTCAATAACACACATTTTCTCAAGTTTCTATTTGAGGACTGTGTTCATTTCTTTCTTTCTTTTTTATTCACTCATCATTCTGTTTCATTTTGTCCATCAAGTATCTTTATATACTTGCATACTAACTCCTCCTCTCCCTCTGTTTCCATTGGGTCAGCAATGGAGCAGTCTTGAAGTCAGCATCATTATCATCCAATCAGCACCTCTCTCAACAAGAATCTGTCAACCCAGCACTAATACTGGCCTGGCAATTAACGCTATCTCCACTCCTCTCCTCTTGTTCTGTTCCCTCCTCTCCTCCTCTCCTTTTTGTCTCGTGCTATCAGCCACTTTTCCAATCTACTCAGCTCACATCTTGGCCCCTCATCTCCTTTCCTTCCTCACGTCTGTTCCCAGTTTTACCCTCTCCCATCTCCTCTATTTTGGGCTCCTGTTCTGCCTTCTCGTCTTTCTCCCTTGTTTTCCTTGTGGTCCCTCCAGATGAGTGTGGTGATGGCAAGAACGAAGGGAAAGGGAGAGAAGGAAAGAAGAGGAAAAGGGAGGAAGCGTGTATAATTGGGTTTTTAAGGTGTGACAGAGCGAGGAGGGGAAGGGTGGTGTTCTTGTTCATGTCTGTGTGTGTGTGTGTGTGTGTTAGGAGGCAGTGAAATAGACAGTGAAGAAGAGAAAAATAGGGAGGTGGTTTTTTTGTGCCTGTGTAACTGTATTTGTGCTTCTGCTTCTGTGTATCTGTGAGAAGAGGGTGTGTGTGCAGCAGTGAATGCAGGAAAACCTCATATTTGTGTGCGTAAGAGAGAGAGAGTTGGGGAGATGAGGTTTATAATTGGGCAGATTTGCCTCCGACTGAGATAATACCCCCTGGGGAATGAAGACAGAGGAAGCAAAGAGGGAGAGAAACAGAGATAGAGAGGAAGAACAGAACAACGGAGGAAAAAAAGAAGATGGCACAAAAGCATGAAAGAGAAAAGGGATGGAAAATGACGGAGGCAGAAAAGCAAAATAGGAGGTAAAAAGGGTAGCATGAAGGTGAGAGAGGGAAGCATGGGACACACAGAGCGAGAATGTGTTGAATCTGGGTTGGAGACAGCAAGGGATAACACGGTAGAGGAGAAAATTGGAGGTTAAGATGAGTGACAGTTTGATAGCAGAAGAGATTTTGGGATGCAAGAGGGAAGAATAACTTGATGCCTTAGTGTGAGATTTCTAAACAGAGTAAATATTTTAGGTGATAATGGATGATCGGCTTTAATTTGAAAACATGCAGCAGACTAAGGAAGAAAGTTTAGGCTCTAATCTGATCATACACGGATATAAAGCCTAGGGCTTCTCTGCCGAGAATAAATTTGAGACCAATTTTGCAGGCACACTGGCATGCAGGCTGTTATTTAATAAGGAAATGGTCACATCTAGAGCATGTCAAGCTCAGAAATTCAGCCCAACAGTTCAGAAATGTTTGCACCCTGAGTGAACCTTGAGTTTGGTCCTGGGCCGAGTGTCAGTTAAAGTGTGCTTATCCTTTTAATTAATTAAAGAGCTACTCAGGGGCTCTGTTTGTCTTCAGAGTTCTTGACAGTCACTGTGGTGCCTCTCAAGGTTAAATCCATCACACTTCATTTTTCATTATTTCTCTTGACCCTTGTAAGAAACTGAGATATTTCAGAAAATCTCTTCTGCTCCGATGTTATCTAGTTTCTTTCAATTTGCATTTATAAATTCCCGTTTCAAATTGGTTTCAGCATAATTTCCCAAATGCATTCTCTAATAGTTCACACTGTGTCCATATGTGTCCAGTCAAAAATAATGCCCCCCAAGCATAATTTATACCATAAAAATCTGTCTTTGTTAATTAAGGGTGCAGTATTTCATTGTTTCATTGTCTTTGCATAAAGTTACATGTCTTCAGAGTCTCTACAGACCCAGAAAAATAGAAAAGATTACCATGCATGTCTCTACAGATCAGAAAGAATGAAAAACAACCGTTTGGGTAGGTAGCCACCTTAAATAATAATAATAAAACAATAAAATCAGATAATCTGGCTGGGTGGAAAAAATGGCTTGAGAAGCATGGGTTTTTCTGTTTATGCTATAAATTTAGACAACAGACTTGGTAGCTAACTGACATAAATAACACATCATTAACTATATGTTGGTTCCCTAAAGTCAGTTTACATTAACATTAGGGGTACTCAGGCAGAAAAGGCATATCGGGCAGGTTATATTTGAAACTTAGACATGGAAGATTTGAAAGCATAAACATTGTGTGGTCCAAAGGTCTGTTATCATAGGAAATATCACATAGAGTTATGGTACACAGAATTAAAGTCAGCTAAAATAATATTTATTAATTATATGTACATCTTTCTTTTTTTTTTCTTCTTTTTTTTGAGTAATATTCACCTGGACTTAAACTAAAAAAGTTACATTTACACATTTTTGACATTTTTAATTTTAATTGTTAGAATTCTGAGCAAGTTCCTGGCCCCACTTCTCTACATGCCCATCTCAATGTACTGTATAAGGCGCACTAAGTGAAAACAAAAACAGTGAAACAAAACAGTCAGATAAGTCAAATTTTACTCAACTCATTCTTCTTGCTTCCTCCACTTCCGTACCAGTGATTCATTAACGTTGAATTTTCTCGCAGCTGCTCTATTCTCTTGTTGTTGCAGTATATTATTGACTAACCTCGTATTGTGGATGGATTATCTTAGTTGTTCTCCTGACTGAAGTTTACAGCATCCTGCCATGCGATTGCATTTGTCCCCAACCATCGGGAACCTTCACATTAACTTTTATCAAGTGGAAAAAAATTAGCATTCATCCTCCAGCTTCACTGTGTTTGTTATGCTAACATAGCTGTGTCGCTAGCAATCAGGTAGCACATCATTATATACCAGCTAGTCCAACTTCAGTAACCCTACAAAAGTCACATAGTATATCATATTTCGGTGGAAACTAGCGAGCTAACTTCCTGCTAACTTCTAACTCCATTAAATGTATTACATTCTGTTTTCATGGATGCCTGGATATTAAACTTAATTGTTACACCTCATAAAGCAGCAACACTGATCATTTTATTAAAGATGAAAGAATTTAGACAGTTTTTAACTCTCAGTGATGCCGCAGTTTTTTGGACCTGAAGTGGGCGGAGTTTTGGACCTAGATTACTCCACAAGGCTCCTGACTACGGTAGCCATAATGCTCCGACAATCCATCAACCGGTCCGGCTTCGTAGCTTACCAAAGACGTACTAAAACATTTTTTGACAGATTTCTGAGTGCCATGTACCACATAAAATCGGTTTGAGGTCAGTAAGGACAACCAGAATTCATACATAACACACACCGGATTATAAGGCGCACTGTCAATTTTTGTGAAAATTAAAGGATTTTAAGTGCGCCTTTTAGTGCCGAAAATACGATAGATGTTTGTGTGGTATACTATACTATTATACACCACATTCTATAAGCAGAAAAACATTGTCTTATGGTTAGGTCCATATATATATATTTGGACACGTTTTGTTTTTCTACCTGTTTACAGAAACATATTTATAGTTATATAATGACCTTAACAGAAGTTATATAAGTGGACATAATGTGTAGACCAGGGCTGCCCAATCCCAGTCCTCGAGAGCTACTATCCTGGAGCTTTTAGATGCATCCCTACTCCAACACAGCTGAATCAAATGTTTGATTACCTCTTCAGCATGCCATCGTGTTTGGCAAAGGCCTGATAACAAGCCATTCATTTGATTCGGGTGTGTGGGAACAAGGATGCATCTAAAAGCTGCAGGACGGTAGCTCTCGAGGACCGGGATTGGGCACCCCTGGTGTAGACTCTGAGCTTTCATTTGAGGCTGTCTTCATTTAAATTTGAGGAAGGGTTTAGAAGTTTCAGCCGCCCTTTTTTTAAAAGGACCACAAGTAATTGGCCATGAAATGGCTTTGACTCAAAGGCAATTTCATGGGCAGGTGTGGGCAATTCCTTCATTATGTCATTACCAATTAAGCAGATAAAAGGAGTTGATTTGAGGTGTGGTGCTTGCATTTTGGAAGATTTTGCTGTGAACAGACAATATGTGGTTGAAACAAGGATCACTTGTTTCACCTGCATGGAAAGCAGGTGAAACAAGTGATCCTTACGCTGCAGAAACAGAAGAAAACCACCATTATCCATGGTGAAGAGAGCCCTTCACAACAGCCAACCAGGTGAACAACACTTTCCAGGAGGCAGGCATATCAATATCCAGGTCTATAATAAAGAGAAGACTGCATGAAAGTAAATACAGAGGGTTCATTGCAAGATGTAAGCCACTCATAAGCCTAAAGAATAGAAAGGGTATAATGCAATTTGCAAAAAAAAAAAAAATCAAAAAAAGGCAGCACAGGTCTTGAAAAACATCCTTTGGACCGATGAAACCAAGAACAACCTCTTCCAGAATGAAAAGGAGGAAACCCAGCAGCTGGTGATGTCCATGAGTTCAAGACTTCAGGCTGTCATTGGGTTTTCAAACAAGTATTAGAAATGATTGATTTTACTAATGGTTTTACTAGTGAAAGATTTTATTTTCAGTTCTTTGTCCAATTAGTTTTGAGCCCCTAAAAAGAATGGATTGTGTTAAAGTTGCCTCTGCACGAAGACTGTAGGTGCTACCATTACTTTTTTTCTCAGTTTAATTTTAATGTGAATTTTGACACAAGAACATAACTTTATAACAAAGAACAGATGTGTTGCTTGGAAGAGCCAGCTGTAGGACTCAGGATGACTGAGGATAAGGACTGAACAGATGGAGTGAAGGGCAGGCGATGGTGGAAGCATGGTTGGTTGGATGGACAAGAAGCAGCGAGCCATAGCAGAAGCAGTGTTAAGTAGGAGTGAAGGTTTGTCTTTAAGGGTTAGGGTTAAATATGCAAACTATTGCATCCCATATGTTTTTCTTAACACCTTCTCTTGACCTTGAGGTAAAATGTCATAAGGCCCCCAGGAAAGAAGAGGAATTTATGAAACCATAACCATTTGTAAACACTTAGGCTTTATAAATATGCATCAATGGCAGATGCGGCTCATTAGACTTGTACAATGTGGAGAAAGTTTTGGACCATTCCTCCTACAAAACTGTTTTAGTTTATCCATATTTCTAGGATGTTTTCAATGAACAGCTCTTTCCTCATCATGCCATAACATCTCACTTTTTAAGGTCAGCACTCTGACTTGGCCATCCCAAAACATGAATTTTCATTCTCTTTCATCCATTCTGTTGTTTATTTACTAGTGTGATTTGGGTCAGTGTCTTCTTGTATCACCCAGGCTCTCCTAAACTTCAGGTCATGAACTGTTGCCCTGAATTGTGCTTTTAAAAGTTCAAGATACAATTTTGAATTAATCAGTCCCTCCATCAGGCCCTGAGGCCAAACATAGCTATGTGGATTTTTGCCAGAAAGTTCCAATTTTGTCTCATCTGTCCATGAAATATTTGTCCCACAAGCAAACCGGAAATGTACTGCTTTATTTATTTATTGTTGGACAGCCTTTGTGACCTTCCATTAACACCATTCCTAGTCAGTGTTTTTCATTGACACACAACACAAAGATTTAGCAAGGTGTAAAGCTTTCTGTGGGTGTTTTACTGTCAGTCAGTAGTTGCGGTATTGGTGTGATATTTACAGATTGTCCATTTACTCAGTTTGTAGACAGCTTGTTTCAGTGCCAGCTGATGCATACCTTTGCATATGCTTTTGTAACTTTTCCACCTTTGTCCACCCTTAAAAAGCTTCTGTTAAAGTCATTTTAGTGTAATTAAGGAATAATTTCTATCTTTTTTAAAAAGAGCACACTTGGTGAGTAGTAATAATCAGCAAGTATCAGCAGCATAATACACAAAAACTATCTAAGTGGGACTGTGTTGTCAAGTTGCATTAACAGGACAAGTCTTTTTTGATTGAACAGTCAAAAGTAGAGCAGCTTGTCTAATTAATTATGAGATTGTTTGACAGTGTAACAGTACATCTCGCTGACAGCAGGCAAACTTAATGGCTTTCTAGTGTCTGCAGTGTTGCACTTTCACTCTCAAAAATAAACACACGACATCCACAGTCTAAATAAAGATCTGTTGGAAGACGAAAACAAAACTGGGTGTATTTTCCCTAGTGAAGACTATGATTTAATACACATGGTTATATAACTAAGTTTTTGTGCACAGAAGTAGAAATGAAGGACAAATCTGGGCGTATTGATTGTCTAGGTATTGTTATATTTATGGACACTGCATGTGTCATGTCTTCACTGTGACTATCCTCTGTGTCACTTTAAATTTAATAGTGATATAACATGGGTTTGCACTTTAGTAGGTGCTATTCATAGCTTTGCAAGAGGTAACAACCTCATGTTGTACATTGGACAGTTATGTAGGGAGAGACTGAGTGAGGTGAGAGAACAGACAAAAACAATAAGAATGAGTTTTTGGATGAGTATGTAGTGAGTTGCCTTGTTGCCTCTGCTGCCCTTATGTACTTTCTCATTAAGGGACTGTAACCCTGCACAGTTCAGTGTCGTATTCAAACAATTTCCTCTGATGTGCAGCTTGGTAATAACAAAATGTTAATTGAATTAAGCTTGCGTATAGGCAATCAATCTGCTCTGTAGCTGAATCAGAGGCTGAAGTTACAGATATTTATTGGTATAGTCTAATTTGTTTCCAGCTAGAGAAACATTTTTGGTTCACATGAACTTAAAGATGTTCTTGTGAATGTAATAATGTAATTGTGGTAATGTGCGTGAATTGCCTGAATTGCTTTTTGTTTCTCTTTGTTTAATAAAATGTATCGTGAACACAGGGCCTCAAAAAGACAAACATCTAATATATAGATCATTATAACATATAGAATATATTAACTGATACAATTTGTATTAAACTGGTTAAAGATTTTTGGCAGTTAAAGTGACAAAGCCGTCCTTAATTAGGTTCTCTTATATTATTATCCTTATTTTTTATGTTCACGGCTTAATAGGTTAACAATTTATATAGGCTGACAAGTTCCCAGAATGCACTGGGCATATGCAAAGCTCTGCAAAGATACAAGTTACCAAGAAAACTAAGAAATCATAGTTCAGATACAATCTTCTCCACTTTTCTTGAATACACAGGGCTTATTGAGGTGGTGGTTTGCACCCTCTCAGAAGCTGCGCTTGCTCATCTAGATAGAGAGGAGCATGCTGGAAGGAAGGTCGGCCACGTTGTGCTGCAAGCTCTGTTGGAACTGCTTCACAACGTCCTTAAGCAAACATCAGTTGTTGTCCGCTCTGCCCTGCAGGTATGAACACTCAGACACACCTGATGAACACAAACTTTACAGCTGACTGATGTCCCTTTGTGATTTCATCATGGTCCTCAAAGATGCACAGAGAGCAAACAAGAACTGCCATGTCTGAAAGATCATCGCTAGTGATGTGAGCTGGTTCTCCACCTACAACCCAGCAGTTTTCAGTTAAAGAGTCACACTGGAAGAGATCCAGTGTGCACACTGCAGAGGTGCAAGTGCAAGAGGAAATAACAGGAGTTTATTAACTGAAATAGCAGCCAAACTAGAAACTGTGTGAGCATACCAGTGAAGGAGATCATGAAAGGGAGATCATTCAAATTTAAATCAAGTGTGTTTTTTGATATTTTTATGGGCCCATTCCCCTAAAAGAAACTTAAAGAAAACTAAATATTAAGGAATCCAGGCATAATTTCAGTATCACACACTTTCAAAACGCTCAACAGTCCTTGCAAAGACATCCTTAAAGAGCCACAATACTTAATTTAGAAAATAATACTAAATTATTGTTATTTGTTAGTTTTTTTTGGCTTCATCTTGTGAAATTGGTCATTTTAGGCTCATGTATGTCCTACAGTGATTCACCACTTTTTGCCAACTTCATCTTTGGTGAGTGCGGATTCACCGACAGAATCACAAAGTGTACTTCCTCAAAATGTTGCCCTTGTATCACGTCCCTGAAGGCATGTGTCTGTGTGTGTTTGAGTGTGTGTGCCCCTTGAAGTATACAGTGAAAGCTAGCAGGTTTAAGCAACTGCAATATTGAAGTTGTGGACTCAGGAGAAAGGGTATGAAGTCCTGAATCCCTGGGACGCGCGCACACACACACACACACACACACACACACACACACAAGCATACACAGAGGGGCCTGTCTGGCTATGTCCCTGCGGCCTCATTATCACCGCTGGCTTTGTCCTTAGCTTGCCTCACTACATACACATCCACGCGCACACACTCACACTCTCGGATTGGCACACACACATCAGCCCCCATCTCCCCATAGTGTGCACCCCAGCCCAGCACATACATATTAATGCCCGGACAGGGGGTGGGGGGACTAAAGTGAAGGCAGGGTAAAAGACTGGGTGAAAGAGAGGACAGAGAAAAGAGAAGGATGGGTGGAGAGATAGGAGAGACTGAGATGGAAAAGGCAACAAGCAGAATCTGCAGCGGAAATCAATTCTGCGAGAAATGCAAAGCTCATTAAAAAGAAAACTTCAGCCCAAACCAAATTCATTTGGGTAATAAGGTCTGATAAGGAGAAAGGACGTGACTAGACCGTTTTTCTCAAAATATTACTCAGTTGGTCAAGAGGGAGCATGTCAGAGATTATATACAGTACACTACAGAAGGAAAAAATAGGACAAGCGTAGCAGAGACTTTGGGAAAGAGACAAAATATGTGCTGTTATTAGCCCATCACTAATTGGCCTGAAGTTCCACTACAGGCAGGAAGTAAAGTAAAATAAGCCAAAGTAAGTCACAGAGGTGCTAATAATGAGGGGCAAAAGAGATGATGCCTTAAGAATGAGATGCAAAAATAACTTTGTGACAAAAAAATGTTCAGCTTATGTTATCCTGAGAACTTGAAGAAGGTTTAGAATAACATAATATGTAGAAACAAAACAATTCCCTGTCTTCATCTATCAGGGTGTCTTTCTGTGTATGTCTCAGTTTGTCAGAATAAGTCTTGGCAGGTCCCTGGATCCATCGTTATTGACTGTCAAATCTCTATAAATGATTTAATGTGTGTGTGTGTGTGTATGTGTGCGTCTTTGCACGTGTGTATAGAGCCAGAGGCTATCTTGTCCAGCAGCAGAGACGGAGGCAGCAGAGAAGCTGCTCCTAGCCAACAGACCCCTGAGCCAACTCAGCACACACCTCATTCACATGGTGAGACCAACACTCACAGATCCTGTGCATGTCTGCGCATGTAAATGTGTTGTATGCATATATATTTTTTATGGTTGTTTCTGTTTGCATGTTTATATACATGTAAATATATGCTGGATACAGTGGCAAATATTGTGTTCTTGTACATAGTGCATTTAAAAAATGTATGTTTTTTAAATGCACTATGTTGTGCAGAGCTGATGCTCAGGTGGATAGGGCACATATCACCTGGGCTAAAGCAGCTTCCTGCTTGTATCCAGGCCAACCAGCCCTGGGTTCCAGTGTTAACACATGTCCATCTCTATTATGCTACCTGAATTAGATAAAAGTGCCAGTAGCCAAAAAATTAGTGACATATACAGCTCAAAGTAGGTTATTCTTTAGTTATAGACTAGGTCTCCAAATAAATCCATTAAGATCAGCAAAATAATCAGCTGCATCTGCATCTTGACTAAATATTTCTAGAGAAATATCTCACTGCACCACACTGTATGTGTTTCTTTGTTATTGTAGGAGTTAACTGGACAGTTGAAAATGCGTGCATGGACCATCTAATTCCTTCAATTAGAAAAGCTGTGTGCTCCTTGAATATTGTGTGACTATTTAAAACTGATGATTGTCTACGTTTACTGAAGTAATTGGTTTGCAGTTATTACAGTTATTAATCCCAGGCATGTTCAGTGTCTGCTGGTACTAACACAGAACCTGATGAAGTCTAAAAACAGGAAGATAAGCATTGCAACAGTGTTGGCCTTTTGTTATCTCTGCAGCCAGTCAAACATCCATACCCACTGACACTAAACACAAATAAAATTGTGATTAACGATATGGCGCCTTGCAATAAGATCACACCAGCTGGGATGCTCATCAACATGTTGATGTTCTTGCCCCTGAGTATTTAGTAGTCATTAGTACATTATTATATGAGTACTCGGTACTTAGGCCAAAAAGAGAGGGTACTATGAGGCAGCACACTTCTGGGAAGTCTATGCCAGAGAGACGAAAGAGGAGGAGACTGTGGGGGATTTAAAAAAAAAAAGAAGTCTCCAGGGATGGAAACAGACACTACACTTGACACATCGAGTGTTGTGTGGAAAAGTAGGCTGACCGAGCAGCTGACACACCCCCAGCCTTTGCATATATCTATAGATAGATAGATGGATAGATGGATGGATAGATTGGAATCAAATGTAAAATTGAGAAGTAAAGGTATGAAATTCTCCTTGGACTCTGGCCACATTGTTATTAGTCTCATTGTGTATTCTCCCATTTAGTATCTTTTGGTTGTTGTTGTACTTTCACACTGACAATGACAGAGGATACAGACAGGATACTTTTTTTTTTTTAACAATGATTTATTGATTTTTTTGGAACAACACAAACAGCAACAAATCAGCACAACAAATACAAATAAGAAAAAGGGAAGAAGAAAAAAACAAATACAGGTACATGAGTTACAGATGTACATGTCTGGGTCAAAATATGTACAGTGTTTCACATTTGAAGTCAAGGGAAAGAAAAAAGAAAAAAAAGTGGGGGCGAGAAAAAAAATACAGACATTAATTATTGTGTTTAAAAACAAAATGTGATCCCCTTTATGTAATAGCACAGCAAGGTCACGAGGTAGGTGATCAAGCAAAGGCCGCCATATCCTACAGAATGCATCACAATTGCCCTTTATGATGGCACTAAGGCGCTCCATTGGCAGCACCTTGAACATTTCTCTGTACCATTGTGTAACAGTGGGGCGCTGTCTCTGAATCCATTGAAACAGTACACATTGCCTCGCTAAATGTACCTAACAAAAGCACCTGTACAGAAGACAGAGAAAGGCCTTCTATAGATAGACCCAGAACGAACAGCACAGGGTTCAGTGGGATCGTCTGGTGAAAGATTGAGCGAAGCTCTATAGCAATATTTTTTCCAAAATCTAGTAATTAAAGGACATTGCCATATGCCATATCCGTATTGCACTTTACACAAAATGGAGAAATCTGAGTGATGAATTTTATTTAGAAACTCTGGCGTACGCTGCAGTCTATGTAAGATTCTGTAATGGCTTTCCTGGAGTCTGTTACAGGAAAACAATTTCTTGGCAGATCTAAAAGTTTTGGACCATGCTTCTGCACTAAGCTGAACTTCGAGGTCGGTTTCCCACCAAACCCTGGCCTTATCAGTGGTTACAAAATTCAAAGACAATAATTTTCCATAACAAAGAGAGATAAATTTCTTTTTTGTGATTATTTCCTCATTATATTTAAGAAGAAAGCTTTCAATAGGATTCAAAACAGGTTGATTGGCTGTAAATTTAAGGGAATTTACAAAATGCCTTACTTGCAGGAACCCAAAGAAGTGTTTCTGTGGTAAATTATATTTAATTTGAATTTGATTAAAGGCCATAAAACTACCCCTTTCAAACAGATCGCAAATAAATCTTATATTTTTAGAACGTCAATCATCAAATATACTAATGCCAATACCTGGAGGGACAGCTTTATTCCTAATTAGAGGCTGTAGACAGGATACTTTTATGTTTTGTTGACTGCCAATTTTACTTGGATTCAAAAGGTATCTGGGTGCCATTACTGATTCTACAGATTTTAAGATCCAGTACACATAGTAAAAAACTTGATGCAGAACCTGAGTATCCAAAATAGAAACATGTCCTCTTATACTTTAATCTCTGCATGTATTCACTGATTATCTGTCCATGCAGCTGTCTGCTGAGAACCAGGAAATCTGGGAGGAGTCTGTTCATTGTCTGTCACTGCTGGTCCAACTTTACTGTGGAGAGGGTCCTGACTGCCTGTCGCCTTCCTGCTTACGAAGCTTCTCGCATGTGCTGCGCACTCGCATGCACACTGAGACCCCCCGAACACAACGTACAGCTCTTAAAATTATTAAACGACTAGTAAGTGAACATCCACACAGACGGACAATCTGAAAAGCTTAACTGAACACACTGACATTTTCACATACACACGCTCATCAGAGCTCATGAACATTTTATTGGATGTATATTTTGTGTTCCATTTGTGTTGAACCTTGGTTCTATATTTGTAATTTGAGCGCCCTGCAGATTTAACATATTGGAATTATAGACACATACATATATGTGTATAAATTATACAAACACAAGAGTCAGTTCTACTGTGCTGCTGTTCTGAAAAAAACGTGTACTTTCACCCAAACGAGACTGACAGAGAGAGCAAGGCAGAGAGGGAAAAAATTTTGGTTTTCTATCTGCCTCTCACTCTGTTCAAGTGTCTGTCCAATTTTGTCTCACAGTCAGAATGATTTGTACTACAGACCAAAGCTAGCCTGTAGTACAGTGTACTGCAGTAAAACACATTGAAATTTAGTAAGGCTAAGGCTCCCCAGACAAAACAGAAACATTATTTTAATCTGGTAACAGTGGGAAGGACTGAGCAGCTGCGGCTGGCATTCAGGATTTAACAAGGCGACAGTTTCTTAACCCTGACAAACAATAGTAACATTTTATGTGTCTAAAACAATTTAATATTAATAGGAACATGCTGTGAATTGACTGAAAATGTTGGCCCACCTACTAATTCATTTGAATTTAAAACCTTGTTAAAATGTTAACTAAACTGCCAGTAAAATATTGTCTGACTAAGGCAGTTAGTTGTGCAATAGTTAGATATTTGGTAGACATCTTACATGCTTTGCTAGCAAATGAGTTCACATTGAATGTTTTTGTGTTAAAAGATTTAAGCCCAGCGCCAGCCCTCGGTGGCCAAGTAGTTTACTGTTCATGTGACATAGCCGCAACCCAGGTTTGATTACTTTCTCAGTTCAACCTCACCTTTTTACCCATCAGCCATAAAAGGCTGATGGGGTATTGTCTTCACCCTGCCAGGTGGGTGGACGGTGTGGACACCCAAGTTTGTGAATGCAATAACTTGAGAACGAAGTAATGGAGCACTTTCAGATTGATACCATAAGTACATCTACTAAAAATCTCTGACAAGTTGGAATCTCAGTGACTTTGAACTCGAGGTCAGGGGTCAGAGGTCAAGTGTTCTGAAAATCTTCTGAATGTGAAACAACGTAGGAGTTTCAAATTGACACCTTAGGTGTATCTACTAGGAGGCTGAGGGGTATCACTGACTGCCATCGTTATTTTTAAACCATGATGTCAGCATTTTTTGGACATTAATTGCTTTGTTCTAGTTTTCGAAACTTAACCATACTTAAGAATAAGTTAAGTGTGTTGATATTGGATTTTTAATCAATCTGGTCTCTGAATGTAACCCACTGAATTTAATTTAATTTACTGAATACATATCTTTTTAGAGATTACTGCTAAAAAAAGAGGCAGGGTTGGTGAGTCGGTCCAGTAAAAATGCATTTTAGGAAATCAACATGAAGTTAGAAAAAATAGCTGATTGTTCAGCAGACCCCTATGAATTATGTAAAATGCATTTGTAATGTTTTGGCTTGGCCGCAGGGTCATGAGATTCTGCATGTGGGATACAAGGTCAGCTGTCACCCTGAGATCACATGATCTGACTGAAGGCTGTGCCTGGAAGCTACCTAGTGTGTGTGTGTGTGTGTGTGTGTGTGTGTGTGTGTGTGTGTGTGTGTGTGTGTGTGTGTGTGTGAGAGAGAGAGAGCGAGAGAGGCAGTGTTTGCGTGTACTCGTATATTTTTGATTCCTCTTACTAATTATTTCTAGCCACCTGAACCACCCACACACACAAACTGTCACACACGAGCTCTTAGACGTATCTCTTCCTCTTTCTGTCTGTCTGTCACACCACATTTGTCCTCATGTGAAAACTCCCTTATTACTCCCCGTGCTAGTCAACAAAGTAACATCTGTGTGTGTCTTCTCTGTCCTGATCACCACCCTGGGCAACAAACACACATCACAGCAGTTACTTTCAACTATGTAGCAAATGAGAATATGTAGCTAGTGGATGAGTCACCAAGCAGCATCCCGCACGGAGTGAGCAGCAGAACTCATTTATTTGCTTAGAAAAAGCCTCTGCGTGCATTTGGTCATTTCACTCATTACAACAGTTAATTTAAAAGATTTCATTTTTAAAGTTTGGCTCTCTCTCTCTGAGTGCTTGTTCTAGTTCTCCCTCTCTCTTGCTCGCTATCTCTCGCTCGCTCTCGCTCTCTCATTCTCTCTTTATAGAGTGCTTAACAAAATTATTAGACCACCTGTCACAAAAGAAGAAATCTGTGAAAAACTTGATTAAAAATTACTGAGTTAACTGAACTGGATCTGCATTTTTAGACCTAATATTGAGCCGGTACATTGGACTTCTCTGAACAGTCAGAAATTAAAGCATGACATTAAACAACTAAAACTAATTTTTCTGTTCAGGTATCCAAGTAAATAATTGTTGTTTGGCACTTTAATCAAAATATAATAATATGATTAATTATTGTTTTTCTAATTTGTAAAACTGTAAATTAAAAACAATTCATATTTATAATATACATATAATTATATTTTAAAATTAGAAATATCATTTTGATAAAAGAGTGTAGGCATACTGGTGGATTAACCATTACAAAAACATAAAACATGATACTGGTAATTATCCTTACTGTTCATTTAGAGCAGCTGTAGCATAAACCTTACATTGGACGTGGTCTAATTAATCTGTTAAGCACTGTATGTATCATAGACAGTTAGTTCAAATGTATCAAAACATATCCATCACCCACAACATGCTTTTATACAGAAGACTCACATTCTCTTTCAAACACACATTTACACCCTCAGACAAGTGTCTGCCCTTCAGAAAAAAGCTTTTTAATTATTTTTCATTGATTTCAGGGCTCTGATAATCTCTATCAAAGATCCTGCTAATAGCTTGGAAACTACAAGGGAGAGGAAATGAAGAATGTATCATGTTGGATTTACTACAATTTTCAACTTGTCTGTCTTTCATATTTGAGTAACAACTTGCAAAGACCTACAGAAAAACAAAATGCTAATTAGATTTAAAACAATACGTTTTTGAAAATAATAGGCATTTATTATCTTTTTTAAAATAATATAATTTCTCAGAGTTATTGGTCTTCCTCTGGCCTCTCAGTTTATCATGTTCAGTCCCTGATATACAAAATATCTTTAACAAACTCAGTTCACACAAAACCTCTTTTAATCAACTTAACTGTAATTTTAACTTTTTCAGCAGCTATAACGTTCACTGATCTGATATTTGGATATTTGCATATGGATATGTAAGCCGTGGTTGACATTGTCCTGTTTTTTCACTTGTGTCCTGAAGCTTTGTCCTCTCTCACCTCCAGAGGCTGAAATGTCTCAGCACACAGTCTCAAAAATGTCAAAGCACATTATGTCCAATTATTGTAACCTTTTACGGTGCTCAAGCCAAAAACATGAACCTTTATTTATCTTTTAGTCCCTGTTTGTTTCCAGCTTAGTTCGATACCCATTAGAATTTCCTTGGAAGCTGATGATTTCATCATGACCTATTTTCAGTGGGAAAACTTTGTGGGATTTCCTTTACCTTTAGGATTGATTTCATCAAGATAATTTCCCCTGTCATCAGTGACCAGTGATATTTGTGCCAGAGCATTACTAAGCAGAAGGGAAAAGTTTTGTGAGTTATGTTTCAAGCCTTGCTTTTGACTCCAAGATAATTCTTGAGATTTTTTAGGTTAGAAGCTCTGCATTTTTAGACCTGAGTATTTAAAATAACTGTAAAACAAAAAAATCATTCCTCACTAGACTCTTACTCAAACGCACACACATACAGATCACAGCAGTGTCTATATCTGTGCACGTCTCTCTTTCTTCCTCTGTCTGATCTCAGGTACGTTTTTCCTTGTTTGAACTGACTGTTGAGACAGCACTGCTGTCTTTCTGAAAGGCCACACGTCTGCCTGTCCTCTGCTGTCTGCCTTGAACGCCTCTCAAATCACTTTAAGATCAGTATTATTGAGTTAGGGTTGGTTGGCTAGAGATGGAGACACATGGAGGATAAGGAGGTGGGGGGTGGGGGCATCTGGAAAGCAAGGATGAAGGTTTGGTAAGTAGGTATGTTTACGTGTGGTTTCCATGCACACAATAAATAGCCCCTAATCATGATGGGAAATTCAAAACTATGTGTTTGTGAAAACATGAAGTGCAATTCACAGTTTCACTTACAGCTTTTCACTTCAAGCTTCCTCCAGATAAAAAATTCAGTCAATCCCCCCACCTGCTAATGCCTCTCAGAAGAAAGAATTTGTTGGGATCCTTTTTGTTAATATTCAGAAAGACAACTTCCTGTTGAAGAAGTAACTTTACCATGAGAAGTTGAATTTTTTTTCTTCTGTTTTTCAAAAGAGAAAAAGAGAAGAAACATAGAAACAGTTGACATTAGAGGGAGTTCCCTCCTGTCTCCATATTCCTGTCAGACTGTCCAGTTTCTAGCATCATGTGCCCCACCGCAGCCCCCTCTTTGTCTCCTCCTAACCCCGTTTCTTAGCAACGAGCATGCTGTGCCGCCACAGAGACACAGGTGATGATGTCACTGGAGATCAGAGAAAACGCATCCAACAAATAGACAGGCACATATGCACTCACACATTAAACATCTGAAGAGACATACGCCGAGGCATTTTTTATTCTTACAATACCGTTTTTGTAACACAAACTTTTTCAGCAGTATGAAATCAGACCTTAACCTAGCTTTGTGTTAAAACGGCGAGAACTATTCTGTGTGATCAGTGAGCACACCCTCACACAAGCCTGGGGTCCAGGTGTTCCTGGGAGGGTGAGGAGCCTAGACATGGTGTGAAGAGACATGTCAGGACAGGAGTAAAAACAGAGGAAAGACAACGAGCAGAGATAAATAATGTAGTCTGAGAATTCAGTGAGGGGAAAAAAGAGATATGCTTGTAAGCTGATGCTTTAAC